CTACTAAAAGTTCTAAGTATGCTTTAGGTACTTAAGTCTGGAACTAAAGTGGTGATAGTATTATCCTACGAAGAAATTTCCTGTAACCCTAGGCTTGTTGAGGGTGGAAATATTCTTTAAGGAAAGTGAGTTCACGACTCTATCATAATCCTAGTCACCCGGTCTCGGGCTATCGTACGTGTACCCTCGCCCCTTAAAGTCCCAACAATCGTAAAGAATAATTTTCCGGTACGATGGCTCGAACCGCTCTTTATAAGAAACCGATTCCGGTCTATGGAATTATGAGAATGTTCGATGATGGGGTTTTCATTGATGGCAGTAGAAGATGGGTTTTCTTCGTACTTGTCTCATGGTGTATTCCATATCCGAAAGGTAACTTGGAAGAGGGATGATTCGAAGATGAGGAAGAAGGAGAATGATTCGTAAAATGGAGAAATAGAAGAATGCAAATTGCCTTTGAGTATGTCACATACTCAATGGTTAATTTGTCTAATTCTCTATTCGATGTTTACGAAGTGCTAGACAAATATGGATTTGTCTAGTGGTTTGATGGTGTGGTTTTGTCTAAGTGGTTTATGTTAGACCAAGGAGACAAAATTTGTATATACAATGTTTGATGATTCTGGTAATAGAGTCGTTGTGTTTGTATGTAAATGACATATTTATCTTTGGGACCAATCAAATATAAGTGATTTTGTCTAGTGGTTTATGTTATTTTAAACCAAGGGGACAAAATTTGTACACAATTTATGATGATTATGGTAATGAACTTTGATAAAAAACTCATCGTACATTTGTATGTATAAGACATGCTTATCTTTGGAACCAATACAAGATAAGTGAACTTTGATAAAAAATTGTTATTTCAATTCTCCATGTAGGACATGGGGTAGGCAAATGTGATTCTGTGAATTGAATCAAGCGGAACGACAAGAAAGAGTCCTCTCAATTTTTCTGCATGAGAAGGTACTTGCATCAATTCCATGTCAAATTGGGTTCTCGATGTATGCATGACTTACATGATGCTAGATATCGCATATGCGATAGAACAATTAAGTTGGTACGAGATGAATCCTAGTTCACATCATTTGAAATGAAATGAGGCGTGTACTAGGATATGTCAAAGACACGTTGTATTAACTTATAGTGGCCTTCCATCAATTTTGGAAGGATTTGTTGATGTCAGTTGGATTTCTCATGTTAAAGGTGATACTTCAACATTGAGATGGGTCCTCTTGCTTGGGAGAGGTGCCATATTTTGGGCCTCTAGAAAGCAAACTTGCATCACTAAGTTTCACTATAAAATCAAAGTTTGTGTGGTCTTGGTTTCTCTAGTGAAGAGACATAATTGTTGAGAGGTTTGGTTTATGACATATATTTATGGCCTAAACCAATCTCACCTATTACTATCTTTTGTGATAGTAATGCTAATTTGACTAAGGCTTATAGTCAAGTGAAAATGACAAGAACGGTCATGTGGGAGTAAGGCACGGTAAAAGCTGTGAACTGATCATTCATAGTGTTGTGTCTAGACAATATGGCTAAGCTCTAAAAAATTTGGTTGATCATTTGACGAAGTGGTTAACTAGTGACTTGGTGATCAAGTATGTGAAAGGGATGGGTTAAAGTCCATATAATTTCTGGTAATGGGACACTCAATTCCCCTCTAATACAACGTTAGAGGCTGAATTCAATGTGAAAAGCTTATTATCAGAAATTGAAGTACAAAATTTGTCATCCCGAGGTATGTGCTTGTTATCTGCATGAGAGAAGAGGATGAAGTTTAAAACTTCTTAATTGAATCTTTGAAAAAGTGTATAATGCGGTTACACGAATAGAGATTCAACCTACGTAAGCATGAAATGTAGGTGCTTCAAGAAACCCGGACTTTGGTTTCGTGTGCGCTTATGAGAAGGATTGGACACATGGCGGGTAATAGTGTCAAGGCGCTTAGAAGTTTTAAAAACTTAAGTGTATATTATCTTAGAATATTCATATGAGTCAATGGGTTCAATCGTTACCGACATCCTTTTTATTCAAGTATTCGTCAAGTCTAATATACTAAGGTGAAAATTCAATGGTCACGACATTTTCATTTATGCTTAAGTTTTGTTTAAAGAATGTTGTAATTTTAGTGAATTCTTTGAAAACACTAAAATGGGGGAGGATTGTTGGAATCATTGCAGTGTTTCACCAAAGGACACGTCCCTTGGTTTTGGACGATTTCCTTGCATGCATAAATTAAAATTGGCAATGTTTAAATTTGAAATACATGGCCAATAATTGCATGGAATTGGCAACGTATCCTGACCATTGTTTCATTTCAAATGAATTGGTCTTAGTATCCACTCCCACCAGAAGGAACTTATCTTTCCTATGAGATGCAATGTTCTGATGCCGATTTTGGATGGCACTTAAGCCAAAAACGAATTCCTAAGAATTACAATTTTGGTAGGATGTACCGGCAAAAAAAATTAAGGATTGCAATCCTTCGAGACCCTCTTTTATCCACTATAAATATGGGTGGCCGGATGGTGGAAAGAAAACACAAAAAAAAATCCATTCTTCTTCCTACTAAAAGTTCTAAGTATGCTTTAGGTACTTAAGCCTGGAACCTAAAGTGGTGATAGTTTTATCCTACGAAGAAATTTCCTGTAACCCTAGGCTTGTTGAGGGTGGAAATATTCTTTACGGAAAGTGAACGTTGTTCACGACTCTATCATAATCCTAGTCACCCGGTCTCGGACTATCGTACGTGTACCCTCGCACCTTAAAGTCCCAACAAGTCGAACAAGAGCGGTCGGGTAGGTCGCCTCTAACAAATGGCGGTTATGGCGATTGTTGAAAAACTCAACTACGATGGCTCCATCCTCTCTGTATTGATGCCTAGCTAAGAGTTCGGCATCTTTTTGTCAAACTTTTCACTATGAGGAATGAAAAAAACGGTGTTCGTCGGGTAAGGAGTTAGGGAAAGGGAAATGTTTGTTCGTGTGGGCAAGGGCAATATGATGAGAGATAAGAAGGATATATGGTAATTGAAGACGATATATTTTTTTCATTTGTTTTTAAATTTCTTGGGTAAAAGTTAGAAATAATTCGAATATACTTACCTGGAGGGATCTACAGGCGCTCTATAAGGCCTGTGGTCTAGGCTAGTGACCTCCGTTGCACTTTTGGAGGGGTGCTGGGCTAAGGTCTCCCCATAGTGGGAGAACTTACATCATAATTTGTGGGAGAACCTACGTCATAATTCGAATATGTGGAATTTATAAATTTTATATGTTTATTTGGACAAGGCATGACATTGCTTGTTGGTCGTTAGTCAATGATTTTGATCATCTAACTTAATGGCCAACACTCTGGTTAGACTAAATCAGTCATTTTGGAACTAGAATAGACATTTCTAAAATAATTGATCAGGAGGGTAAAGTTTAGGCCACTTTAAAATATTAACCGTTTTGGATTTGGTCGTGAAAACCAAGGATTGGAAAATTGTAATATTCTCGCAGTTCGACTAGGAAAACCATTTATCGAAAGCGAAATCGATATGCGATATGTAGCGTATGAAACAGTTGAATCACAATTTCAACATAAAATATCGAACCACTGACTTTTCCGATAACGATTTTTTTAATAGCCTCGAATACGATTTTTTTTTGGATAACCTCGAATACGATTTTCAAACCTTGCTAAAAACACAATTATGTATGGCCCTAAGAGCATCCACATTGGTATTGCATTCTCAATTGCAAAATGACATGACATAGCTGTTTGCAATTGCAAAACCAATTACATTGATGTGGCTATCAATTGCATATTTGCAAGCTTGCAACAAATGCAATTCCATATGCAAGTCAAAAAAGTCTAAAAAAAATGGAAATTTTTAATTTTATATTATTTTCTTTTCTCTTTTACTTAATTTTCTATAATTTAAACATAATATTTAATTATATTTGCAATTACAAGTTAATTGCATTGATGTAGGTAAATGAAATGAATATGATATGGATTGCAAAATATTTGACTTTGATAATTTTTTTGTAATTGCATTGACAGAGATGCTCTCCCACAATCAAACGGACCTTGGGTTTGGGACTAGGAAATTACCCAAAACTAACCGTACCCAATACAACCGTACCTTTCTTCGAGTTCACACTCTCCTTCTCCAAGCACTGGCCCTCCGCGAAATCCACCCTCCGGCGAAGAACACCATCAGCTCCCCGGCCGACGAGGTAGGTAGTGGCAGGTTACATTGCTAATCGGCGTCGTGTTTCTGACATCTCTCCTTCCCGAACTGTCACCTGAAACCTATATAGCCAAATCTATCTCCGACTCCGCCGTATTAGAATTGCTCTCCGTCGCTGCAGCTCTTACTTCAACACCGCCGCTATCAAGAGAGGTAAACCCAATCTCATGTCTCGATGGAAAAAATAGATTTCATTGGATCTGCAACTTGGGAACTGGATGTTAGGGTTTCTTCGACATTTGGGAAATGGAATCTCACGTATTGCACCTTCCCATGTGTTTATTGCATTGTAGTAGATGGAATTGATGAATACTTGCAGCTTCTAGAAGTTGTTAGGACATGATTAGTTCATTCCCCAGAAGGACAAAAGAGTTCACTTGTGAGTTATAGGTAATGATTGCTGTCTGTATAATCTAAAATGTAAGAGGAGATGACCTTAGTATGATGCTTGAGCTTGAAGATAAACACTGTTTGAGGGTCCTTAATCAGTATATGGCCGTATATTAACTGAACAATCACTGCGCTTCTCTTAGCTTGATTACCTTCTATTAGTGGGTGGAACATTGATAATGGCATTTGGAAAATGAATTGCTTGTGTTTGGCTGCTTTTTCTTGCTTGATGAAGATTCAACTTAGAAAGGAAAGAGGTTCCTGGCTGTCACACTAGTCCACCACTAAAAAAGAAATAAGATCTGTGGGGAATGGTTTACTTACCAATTAAATCTTGAGCATTAAATCTTTAGCTTAGGACCGGAGTAGCATTGCAAAGAAAGGATCCGTGGAGGTACAGATTTTTTAGTTTCTACCAATCAAATCTTGAGCTTGTTTGTAAAACGCAGCTTATGTTTTTGGTTTGTGGTGGTCAGACTTAATGGTAGGATTTCAATCGATATAGAGTGATTTGGTATTGAGGGTTTTAGACAGATGAATCTTTGAGGATCATTTGCCACCGACTGAGTGAAACGAAAATTTTCCTGGATTTCTTGCTTGATTCTCTAGCTTGGCTGATTTATGTGGTTTTTTCTTCATCCATAGCAGATCTTGAGCTTGCTTTGACTATTGGCCAGAGAAAGAATCATTTGATAGGTTTTATGCCATCAAAAGGATTAGTAGTGGGGGAAAACATCCATTGGTAAATCAACTCTGTTTGTAATTTTGGTAGTACCTTCGCTGTAATTGAGTATCTTATAATATTACACTATTATGGTATTGTGAGGGAGACATACCTTGGTAAAACCATTGCCATCTTGATTACAAATCAGCAGCTAGGTTAGGCTGAAGGTGAACTGGAGAGGGTGGAAAGAGAAAAAACAATAGAATCGGGAAGTGAATGAACGAAATGAATGTGAGGTGACTTTTGAAGCTGATGAGTGAATGAATGAGCGTAGTTGTTTGTGGTGGTGATGGGTATAGTTGGCGAGCTGCCTGCTACCCTCTTAATTGATCATTATGTTATCAGACTCTTCCTTTTTCTTATTGCTCAAACATAATTATAGTTTGTGTGTTCAATTAAGCACAATCCAGAAATCAAAAGCCACCATCTGGGAGTTGTAACAGTCCTCAGAAAGCACAGAACTGTTTGGATTTTTTAAATCACCATCTCATTTACCTCTCTACCCCTTTGAGTTGCTGCTAAGAGCATAAAATGACGGCCACTTAACCTTACTTGATTATACGCCGACCACTTAATATCACTGCTGATGATACAAGAACCAAATTATTGAAACTGTGACGTTAAAATCGATTTGCTAAACTTAGCACTATAAGACCTGTTTGTCTTGTAATAAAGCTTGGTATCATATATATATCCACTATGCATTTAAGCTGCCTTAGAAAACGTCATCACTTGTCACATGGAGTGTTAATAATGTTAAACATACTTGCACGAAATTTGCCTATGGCATTCTTGTCCTTTATATCTTTATGCTGTCTCTGGTCTGTTGATTGCAAATGTCCTTATGGAATTGAAATGTCTTTCGAAAAAGTAGAAACGCAGTGTGATTAGATACACAGTTGGAGGGTTGGTCTTTTCTACCAATTTTAGAGTGGTTATGCGAGTTAGGATCAGCCAAATCAGCATTGTCAATTAACTTAACCTTACTATGATAATCTCTGTCAGGTTTTATATGAGGGAAGTGTAGCGGTGTTATGATTTTTTTCCTTTTGAACATCCGATTAGAGTGAAATTTGACAGCAAATGTCAAAGCCTGGTTTTAGATGATACTTTGTTAATGGCGCTGGCTATGGTTTTCAAAGTCCTAGTTTCTCAATATTACCATTCTTGTTTCATCCCTACCGTTTCTTCATGTTGGCTGCTTGCCTTGTTGTTCTTACAATGTGACAAAATGATTTCCTTTTCATCAGTTTAGTGTCTTTGTTACATCCAAATTTTTATTCTTGGCTTCGTAATTTTCAGGAAAAGATCGTTCAAAGAAAAAAGAAGAGAGAAGAAGTTTAAAATAGAGTGAGCTGCTTCGTCGTCACTAACACAAACCCTGTCCCTCTCATCACAGCTTAGGTATCTCCTATATCTCTGCTACCCCCAGAGCCAGTCCTGATGAATCTGATGATTAGTAGCTAATTTTCTTCCCTGCGCACTCTTCTAATTACTATGAACTGAAATTGCGGATCGATTGTGAGGCTGCCGTACCAATTATTGCTTTAAACTTTGAAGGCTAGATGGGAATATTAGCAGGGAATTAAGGCCTCAGCGTTTTCTGAATCTTTCTGAAGGCTTTGCTGGAAAGTCTGAACTAATGGTTGGACATAGTTAGTTGTTTTGTTTGATAAATTCAATGTTCTTAGGAGATCTGAGTTGTAACGTTTTTGCTCGGTGACAACAGGAACAGTCAAGTGAAATGGGGTCTCACAGTCACCACAACCATCGCCATTGTCCAATCCCTGTCTCCTGTACCCCGGCTGCTTACTGCTGTTCAGGTGGCTGCTGCAATGAGAATTCTCCTTACTCGCCTACTGGATCACCACTTGACCCACTTCTCGTCCAGTCCGTTACTGCCCTCCTCCACCAACAACAGAACTATCAGCAGCACCAGTGCTTAAGTCCTTGTTGTTTTCCACCCAGCAGAGTTTATACCCGCAAAGATCACTGCCAAACCCCTCATTCTCGTTCTCAAACCCAGCATTCTGGCTTGCTGCCTCAGAAGGGTTCAACCAGCTTCTTTATCTCATCCCTGCTCCAAAGACTTGAGGCCTTGGAGTCCTCTCTGCACCAGCTATCTTCCACTTCTGCTGATAAGTACCCGCTAAGAGATGCTGCTGCCAGGGTAATTCAATCCCATTATCGTGCCTTTCTTGTTCATAAGTCAAGAACTTTGAGACAACTCAAATACCTGGCCTCTATCAAGTCTGCCTTCAACTCTCTCACTGCTTCTATATCCGGGAAATCCAGTTTTAATTTTGAGCTAGTGTCTCAAAAAGCCATGGACTTGCTGCTCAAGCTTGACTCTGTTCAGGTGAATGATTCCATCTAAAATTGTCTCCTTTCTCTTCGACACTTCGCATATTTGGGTTTTGATTTATGGGGGTTTCGATTACTTTGCAGGGTGGTGATCCCATGGTCAGAGGTGGGAAAAGGTCAATGAGTAAGGAGTTGGTTAGGTTTCTGGAACTTGTTGATAGTTCTAGGAAGAAGACAATTTTGTATAAATCAGCTATAAAAGCAAGACCAGTTGGCTGCGGGAACAAATCTGGGGCGAGGAACGTTAGTACTGGCTGTGGAGATGGGAGTACGAATCGAGAGGAAATAGTGCAGAAGTTGAGGCACAGGGTTGGCAAGATTAATGATGGGTTATCTAGGATGTGCAAGCATGACGAGGAAGGTGTAGATTTCGAAGGGTTTCAGTATGACTTGATTGACGAGGATGACATTTTGGAGGAAGAAGAGGATAAGAAGGTGGTTTGGAAACCCAAAAAGAGTGGTGCTGATCAACATCTTAGAGTGAAAAATAAGAGCGTAAGCTTCGCTGAGGATGAGAATGTTCACACTTTTTTGGCTAATGATGATGTTGAGGAGCATTATACTGACGATGAAGTTGAAGCCACTCTGCTTGCGACTGATAACCAGAATAAAGAGGCTCCATCACGTCATGGAATGTTATTGGCGCAGGAAAGGAAGAAATATGGAACCAATGTGAAAGCTAGTGTTGGTATGCATGAAGAAGACGGAAGTTTTTTCGTCTCTGCGCCAGTTCCTGCAAAGATGGAGTCAAGGGCACATTCAACAAATGCAAGTAGTGCTGCGAAAAATGTCTCGTAGTCATGGCTTTTCTATGTGAAACGTTTGTGCTGACCACTAATTTTCAACTTCTCATCTCCACACTGCTGTGTGATTTCCGATTTGGATTGGGTGCCTATTTTCTCTTTGCTATTTTTTTTTTTTGCTCAGTCGCCTTTGCTTGTAGGGGTAGACCGTGGTGTTATCAATGTTTAGAGACTTGATTGTTGATTACCACTTTCACTCAAGATGGGAGGGATAACTGAAATGGAATGAAGCAGTTGATGTGGTCGTTCCTACCAGCAGCAGCAAATGAAGCAGAAGTTAAGGCTCCGTCTTTCGCCTGATCAATGGGACTAAGCAGCAGCAGCAGCAGCAGCAGCAGCAGAATGGTGCTGTTTAGCTGATGAAGTTTGTCTGCGATTCCAATAGAACAGAGAACGTGTCTGTAATATTAAAATATGGGACCTGTTCAATGGCCAATTGGCCATTCATATCCGATGTGATTAGACTACTAGCGAATAGTGTAGCGCTAAACTTGGGTGTAGGGATCAATTTCGGGACGGGATACGGTCACAACCCTTTTTTGGGTTGTGAGATTGACCACCCCACTTTCTAGTCATTGGATATACTCTTTCTTTGGTCTCTTTCTTCTTTTTTCAAATTAATGGTTAGGATTAAGGGAAGAGTATTTTTGGAATGAAAAATATTACCACAGGATCCTTTCTCATTTTCAATATATCTATTTTCATGAAGAAAAAAAAAATTCTCCCCCCTCACACACGTCCTCTCTCCCCTCTCTTCCCTCTCCCCAAAACTCTAGCCGCCTCCTCCATCTCTCCCTCCTCCCACCACCGTCGCTGCCCTCTCGCCGCAGCCGTCGCGCCCTTCGCCTCCCACCACTGCCGTGTCATCACGCTCTTCTCGTAGCCTCCCTCCACCCCCTGTCACTGCCATCTCTCTCCCGTCATCCTCTGTCGCCGCCCTCATCCACTGCCACCGTCACCGGAGAGGTAACGACCTCTCCCCTGCCTTCTTCTTTCTTCATCCCTTAATTTTTTTTCCAGATCTCGGATTTTTCAAATTCCTAATCTGGTTTTTTATGTTAATCTCTAGTGGTACTAACTTTTGTCTAGTGGTATTTAATATGTGTTTTTAAATTAATATTTAAAAAATTTTAAGATTTAAATTTAAAAAATGTGTATTTAATATGTATTTTTAATTTCCATTTTTTAATTAATAAATTATGTTTTTTTTCATACCCAAATTTTCCTTGGATGTGAAAATCACATCCCTCACAGGGTAAGTGACGCTATTCCATCCCATCAATTTCATTGAGTTCCTTGAGATGAAAAAGATGATTTAAGTTTTTTACCTTTTTAGTTAAAATGTATCTTCTTCGTTTTGATTCATATTATAAAATTTTCTTTTGCAAAAAAAAAAAGAGTTTATTGTGATTTATAAAATTATATTCATTTAAAAAAAATCTGGAATAAAATTTTCAGTCACTTGCTAGTCCCTATCACATTCAACCACCCTTTACTTCATTTGTTTTAATTTGAAGTTCAAAATTTTTGGTATCGAAGATACAGATTTATTGTGATTTACAAAAGGGCTAATATTACTATAACACTTGAGCTATAAAAATATCATTTGTGTCCTTTGCTAATTTTTAGTACTTTTATGCCCTTCTACTATCGAACTATAATAAATGTCCCCTTTTGTTACTATTTTCGTTTAATTCCTATTAATAAGGTTTGGAAATGATTATATTACACCATCACTATCAATTTATATAATTATTTTCCAAAAAAATATTTACCTTTTCGGCTCTTCTAATCACCCCTGTACTATCTTGGAGATCCCCCACCCCCAATTCCTTCCTTTTCTGTGTGCCCCCACCACTGTCCCTTCATCTTCATCGTACAAAACTTTGACGCCAAGTCTCACCGAGAATAGGCCCGCAACCAATGCAGTCAAAATCGTGATTTTAATTAAACTCGAAATATGAGGTAAAATCAAAATTGCAAATTAAAATCGTAAAATCGAAATTGTAGATTAAAATCGTAAAATCGTAAGATTTTAAGGTTAATATTAAAATAAACTCTTAGGACATTAGATATTAATAACAAGTCATATCGTGAATAACATTCAACCACAGGTAACTTAATTGCTTCCCAAGATAAGTTTTTTTGTTAAATAAACACAAATAAATTCATAAATTTATTCTTGTATATACCATAAACACACAAATAATATACCTAAAACCTCATAGAAATAATTTAATCTTGTTAAGAGTAGAAATCATATGAAATCGTTAAGATCGAAATTAACAACCCTCACACATCATCATCCTCACCTTCACTCTCATCCAGGGGCGGAGCTAGAATTTAGGTTTCGGGGGGGGGGGGGGGGGGGGGGGGGGGCGAGTTCTCTTAATATGTCACGGTAAAGGACTAAAATTCTATTAAACAAAAATTTATTTTATTTTATCACGAGCGCACAAAAAAATTCATATTAAATTCAATATAAATAATAAAACTATAAACAAGTTACTAACTCATTTCATTTCACTATTGTGTGGTGTAAACTATTTTAATAACGGAAGGTCAATATATACCAATATTAGTATTTGGGGTAATGATTCATTATATATTCGAAAATCATCTTACCAAAGAATTTAATTGACATAATTTGAAATTAAATAATTAACAAACCAAATATGAAAGTTTAAGCATTTGATAGAACTAGCTTTATACCCGCCTGTAGGGCAGCAAATTTTGATTGATTATTATATTTTACGTCCTAGTATTATAATTTTATTTATGATTCAGTATGTGAAACTATTATACATTGAATTGTAATCTCACTTACCAAATATCATATATTGTTTCACATTTTATATCTTTCATTTATTTATGAAAATTTTATTTTATTAAATGAGCTATCTATAGTACTTTCTTTATTTATTTATAATTATGAATCGAATCCACCATTTAAGATATAAACTAAGAAATTATTTATTTTTTAGCACACAAAGTGACAAAGAAGTTAAAATTTTGAAGGACACTAAAGAAGAAGTTAAAATTTGAAAATATATTTCAATTGATAAAAAAAAGTGAAGAACTTTCATTTTCTCACCCTTCTACTCGTACGTTGGTATATGATAATAGAGAATATCGCGATCAGATCCCACAAATATCGTGCAGTATCAGTTACTCGTGTAATTTTGGAAGAATGAGAAACCACATTGGCATCCACATCATCAATCTTCCGCTTATTCGTTTAATTTACCTTGAAAATATTCTAGTAAAACCAACCATAAATAAAACTATTTTTTGTCACTAATTTATTAAAACTATGTTTTCAAGTAAACTAAACTACATATAATCATAATTTATATTTTGTAGAGAGCTAAATACCCCCTACCAAAAGGATCATGTTTTTCTACCTAATAACAACATAGATGAATAGTAAAAGTTGTATACTTCAATAAAACTCAAGTCATTATATCTTGCAGAGTTCCCATTGTGAATCGTATTGATGCATCAATGTAAATAGTAGTTGTTATGAAAACAATCAGGCCAAAATCAAGCTTTAGTTAGGGATTCAATTAGGCAAAATTCACGCTAAGGAAATAAACCAATGTCATTACAAACGTCTAGAAATTGGGGAAAATATCAAAATTTACTACCATTTTATTTCTTTTTCGTGCCCATTATAAAACCCCAAATATGTTCCCTCCTACTTATAACCCCATGCTACATACTATTTACTTGATCAAATCATCGTCATATAGCTAGCTAGTATCATGTCACTAATGAACATAATAAACATAATGAACAACCCTCACAACTCTGCTTTCCATTTTAACATCCAAGGAATCGAGTTGCAATGGGCCTCCAAGGAAAACGATCAATTATTCAACCAAAGGAGAGATGCTCCAAGTCCAAGCAACAAACCCTTTGAATTATATGTTACATGTTTACATCAAAGTATACAGGATAACAGAGAACCATAAAACAACTACCTGAATAACGAAGAAGAAATACAACCATTGAATCGAAAAGGGAAATTTACTATCCAGTCGCCGTAATCTGGAAGAAATTAAGAAAAGAATTGGAAGAAGATTATAACTCGGTCAGTCAACCGCTAGCAGTCAGATATCTCCAAGGAAGAAAGATCAATTGCCCGCTGCGGATCAAAAGGGAAGAGGGAGAAATGATAGGTTGGACTTTTCTTCGTCAATAGGCAAAAATATGTTAAAGTTGTTCAATTCTTTTCCAACAAATCATTGCATCATGTAACTCCCGTATCCTATTCTCCTACAAAGAGAGGGAAAAAAACTCAATATGCCTTACCATTTCCTTTACTATATCTATATACAAAAAAGTAGAGAAGAAAAATTCTAGAAACTCAAAATTTAAGCAAATAAGAAGAGAGATTTATTTGTTTTTGTGGGGCTTGATCTAGTTTCTTCATTATCAATGTTGTGTTTTATTTTCAATATTGTATGGGAAAAGGAATAGGAACACACCAAAATGTTGCATTCATTTTTATTAACTTAATTTACTTTATATTGATAATGATGACAATTTAAAGAGTAAACAAAAAAGCACACCAATTAGACTTTGTCCAGCGTGAAAAGGTGAGAGCTAGCCATGTACTGATGTTGCATTAAATTAGTTTTAGATTCCTACAATATTAAGTAATGATAATTTATGATTTCTTGGAATTTTTTTTATAAAATGTAATAACTCGTAGAAATATTGTGACATTTTACATACACTTGAATTCTTGAATGTATTGTAGACATATCTATCAATATCAAAGAATATGTATAACGATTTTATTTTAATTTTTAACCCTAATTAATACCTTTGAACTCGGCACATCGACTGAAATATGAAAGCGAAATTTTGTGGCTAGGATACCTCGATTTAAATACAAATTTTTTACTGTTACAAACCAAAAGATTTCCATTTTGAGACTTCGATATTGATTTTTTTTTTTGTTATTGCCAAAATTTGGTATGGAGTCATAGACTCACAACCACATAGCTGGGGTTGTTTGCTTGATGAATTTGGAGCTATCGTGAACTTTGTCCAACCATTGCTTGCTTCATGTATTTAGAGGCAACAAATATGTGGGTCTCATGTATTTTAAGGTTCAAATTTGTGGGCCCCACAGACTTAAAAATTTCACATCTTTAGATGGAAATTCATCATGCAATTTGTAGTTTATTATTTATGACCAACCTACCCCTCATATTTCATTTCCCTTCTCATACCAATGAGGGTAATATATGTCATTTTCACTTCCAACATATAAATTCAATTAACCAAATGCATCATGAAATCTATGAAACGAAATATGGTATTTTCAAATATATAATGAAACAAAAACCTTCACATATCCATGCTTTTACAAAATCCAAGTTTTATTTAAACCTTCAGTTTTCAAGTCCACGAAGCAAACTACCCCAATGTTTTCTTACAATTGCCTTACTAAACTCATCATTATTAAAGATTATTTATTTTAACACAATACCTCAATTTAGATTCTTGTAGCTACAAAAGTTTTTTGTTTAGATATCTCAACTAACACACTTATGTTTATTTATTGCCTCAATCCTTGAATTTAGATTTGTCTACCAAGACATCAACTATTAAATAAATTTTTTCAACCCTTATTTGATCAATGCTAAGGTTAGTAATTGATGAAACGTGATGTTTATTGTATATCCTCAACGAAGATTTTCTTAACCTTCACACGTGTTGTTATTTAAGTAATGTTGTGTCTCATCCGAGGTATGAAGTCAAAACTCGTCAAAAATCATACTTAAGTCATTTTGTAAACTTTGATGTAATAATGTTTGACAATAACTCCAAATCTGAAAATAAATTACTTAGCATTCGACTTATGACCTCAATAGAGATTGTTCAATTAATATGATCTAGAGTGAATATTTTAATATGGACCCTAGGAAAAATTATAAAGTATTGCACACCTGATTCCTCTTAATTTGAGAAAATGAAGGTAAAACATGAATATATGTTTTCACTTAATCATGATGAATAAGAAGTTTTTTAAAGAAAGAACTATTATTGCTTAGTCAAGTTTATATTCAGGCCTTTTGCTATATAAAACTTGTTTTATTTGATAGATATATATATTAGAAATAATTCGACAAAAAAAATACATTAGAAATAAGAGAGTTGTTAATACAAAAAATCTAAATTCATATATTTTGTTTTCAAAGTCGATTGATAAAAATATTATTATATGTGTACCCTTTTTATCATTTGTTTTCAATGTTTCTATTGTAATATTTTGTTTAATTGATACAAATATTATTATATATGTGTACTTTTTAATAATTTGTTTTCAATGTTTCTATTGTAATAATTTGTTTAATTCATACAAATATTATTATATACGTGCACGTTTTTAAATTTTTGTCAAAATGTAACTTATTATTAAGTTTTGGTGAAAATAAGTAGAAAATTTACTTGATAAGATTTAATCATATGCTTTTTAGTTAAACAAATTCGATATAGTCACTCTTTATTTCTATCTTTATATTTTTTTAATTGACAAAAATATTATACTTTTGTGTGTTTGTTTACATTCTCATAAAAATGTAATTTATTATAAATTTTTAGTGAAATGAGTAGAAATATTAAAAGAAGAGAGAGATAGCTCCATAAATAGATCAATAATGAATTTGTGTTTGCAAAAAAGTTGTCCACCTTGGCAACTTGTGAATTCTCCAAGTGCTTATGTGGCAAGAAGTTACTTTTGAATTACCATAATAGATAGTATAGATAGATAGATAGAAGATAGATGATTTGGTTAAATAAAAACTTAAAGGATGTCTAAATTGATTTTTTGAGAATCAAATATAAACGACGTAAATCTGGTGAAAAATGGGAATGGTATATCATTTCATAGCCCTTGCCGGTTAAAAATGAATATTGCTTACCACAGGAATCGAAACCTTGACTAGTGGTAGCTGGCGTCCAACTTTCTTCCACTAGACTACGTGAATTATTGCTTTCAAATCTTCAAGTCAGTTAATTTTGTATGTTAACGTTAGTTTATACGTCAAATACTAAACTTTTTACACGTAACTTTCCAGATTCTCGGTGGGGGGGGGGGGGGGGGGGGGGGGGGGGGGGGGGGGGGGGGGGGGCGGGGGGCCAGAGGCCCCCCGGAAGGCTGCTATTGCTCCGCCCCTGCTCTCATCCTCATAGAATCCTTGTCTATTTGCTTGAGAAATGGTATCATTATTCTCAAGATCACTTGAAAACTTTCAAACTATAATTCCTGGGTTAATTGCAAGGATGGTCACTGGGTTTACTAAAACCGTTCATGTTTGGTCACTGCAAATATTTAATTTCATTCGTGGTCACTAAGATTAGTTCAATAATTCAAGTTTGGTCACTCTCCGTTAGTTTTTGCTGATGTGGCAGTCAACTATTATAGTTGACCGTTAAATGAGTGACGTGACCATTAAAAAAAGGGTTTTTTGGGTAAATACAATTTAATATCCAAACCTTTTATTTTAAACAATATAATAGCCAAACCTTTTCGAAAACAATCTAATATCCAAATCGTCAACTTTCTGACTGTTTGACCGTTAGTTGACACTTCAAAAAAGTTCGAAGTACGACATTTCATCAATATCCATCGATATCTTCTCTGAAAAACCACCAACATATCGTAGTTCCAAACCCGAGAAGTCCATGACTCCACCATGATGGTATAAAATATCTAAATATTCAGTCATCTGAAATGCCAAAACAAGAAACAAAGTTGTATTGTGACAATTTCCTCTAAACAAAACTTTTTTGAAGTGTCAACTAACGGTCAAACGAACGGAAAGTTGACGATTTGGATATTAGATTGTTTTCGAAAAGGTTTGGCCATTATATTGTTTAAAATGAAAGGTTTGAATATTAAATTGTATTTACCCTTAAAAAAATAAAAAATAAAATATTTATAATTTCCACCTCATTTTACAACTATTAAAAAAAATCGAAGGAGAAAGAGAATGCGTATCGGTCGAAATATTTACAATTTCATTCTCTATGTCGTTGCTGCCGCTGGAAGATGACGATGATGAGGGAAGTATTGCCTCTATCTCCCTTCGGAAATTTTCTTCATCGGGCTGAACCGTCAACCTCTGCCTCTTGCTGCTGCCGCCGTCGCCGCCGTTGTTTCTCCGCCACACATATGATCCACCGCCAATGCCGCACATGGGTTTCCTCTTCCCCTGAAACTGAGACAGAGCAGGTGTGCTAACCAATTTCTTAATCTTCATATCCTCCTCTTCTTTGCTTATCGCTGCTCCACTAGCCTTCCCCTGTTTCTTCTCTAAACCCAGAGCATCTTCCCCGAAATCATGGAAATCTTCTTCTTCTTCTTCTTCTTCTTCTTCTTCTTCGTCTGTAACACTGCTCTTCTCCATTGAGGTCGTGGGTTCTCCTGAATCTTTCGATTCTGCCATCAAAGTCGCTTCCTTTTCTTGATAGGAGTTGTTCTCGACTACGATCTTGGAGGTGTCGATACACCTCCGGCGACGATCTCCGGGGACTCGCCGGACCGCAATGGAAGCGCCGCAAGGGATCAACGCTTCTTCTTGTTCGCCGTACTCTTCCTTGGTGTTCTCGTTGGTGAAGACGAGATCGTAGTCGGTTCCCAGGCACAAGCCGTTAGGGTTCCATTTCGGATTGGTGTTCTTCTTCGCCTTGAACTTCGACCTCAGGATCGCCATCTTCAACTCCTCGACCGATACGCATTCTCTTTCTCCGAATCAGAATCGGAGAGCAGTCCAAATGGTAAATATTTAAATTTTAATAGTTGTAAAATGAGGTGGAAATGGTAAATATTTAAATTTTATTATTTTATTATTTTTTAATGGCCACGTCACTCATTTAAAGGTCAACTATAATAGTTGACTGTCACATTAGTAAAAACAGAGAGTGACCAAACTTGAACTATTGAACTAATCTTAGTGACCATGAATGGAATTAAATATTTGCAGTGACCAAACATGAACGGTTTTAGTAAACCCAGTGACCATCCTTGCAATTAACCCCATAATTCCTTGATAACCAACACATGGCAAAGATAACTCATTGATTGATGCATTTCCTTCTTGATCGAAAAAACGTCGTCGAAGATGGTGGTGCTGAAGGTTTGAGAAATGAACGAAAGATTGCAAGGGAATGGGGATTCGGCTTAATTGTGAGGGTGGTGGGGAACAAACTATGGGCTTAAGATCGTAAAATCGTAAGATTTTAAAATTAAAATCGTGATTTTGACTACATTGTCAGCAACAAATCCAACCCAAAATTTGTTAACTAGCAGGGTTTCATTCTCCTCGTTTGGAATTCAAATCAAATTAAGCCAGACACTAAGCTTTTATAGTAGTAAAAGGAATCAGGGAAGCAAAACAATGAACCAGTAGTCAAAGGAATCTGAGTTAATTTGCTTTCCTAAAGTGAGGTTCATTTCCTTTCCTGGGTCTCGTCGAGAGCAATTGAAGAAGTTGGGGAAGATATGAGAAATTTTCAGTTTTTGATTTTCCTGCTTCTTTGCTCATATCCGGACTCGGTTTTGTTGCGATGTGGTCATGGATGACGCAGACGCTTTGAACTTCGGGTGCGTGGCTGGCCACTCAAGAAGTAGTGGGTTGTGTCACGACCGAGGCTCGAGAGTTGGGAGAGGTTGATCAAGGTCGATCGATGCATTCCGTAGCAAGAACGTGATGAGAGCATCGCGAGAATATGTGGGGGCAAATGTCACGCGTGGCGGGTGACATAGCGAGTGACATGGCGGGTCCTGGCCAGGTCAAACACGTGTGGTATTATGAAAGACCTAGTAGCATAGGATTCTTCTAGGATTCCCCTTCTTATATGAGTTTAATGGTGCACATAAGAGCCACATATAAGGAGGTATAATGGTATGCATTATATGAGAGACTTAATAGTAGGGCTGGCTATTTGGTGCGGGTTTTTTAGTTTTACCCAAAACCGGACCGTATAACCCGGACCGAGACCAGACCAGAACCGGATAGTAAACAATCCAATCCAATCTTTGGGCTTAGATTTCAGGTAAAAAATCGTTTAGGATCGGATCGAAACTGGATAAAGACCGGATAAGAGAGCTCAACACCCAAAACTTAAGGGTAATTTGCATAAACGGTCACAAAACCTTTGCATTTAGTACAAAACTTAACCAACTCCTCACCCTTTCAGGCCTTAGGCCACTCAAATCCCCACAAGCTCAATATAAAATCAATACCGAATTGGGACCAGACCGGGTCAAGACCGGACCGGATCAAGACCGGACTGTATCCAATTCAATATTTGGTCCTTATATTTTCAAAAAAACCGGACTAGACCGGATCAATTTGGGCTAATTTAACCAGACCGTATAGCCACCCCTACTTAATAGGGTGTAATAATGGGGGAGAGCATTATGAGAGATATTTACACTTTGTAAGATGGGATGACCTATATAAGGAGGACCTCCTCCTCATTCGTTATCATCTATCATTTTTCTGAGCAATACACTCTAGATAGTTTCTCCCATCTTCTTGTGTCTTCTTCTTGTGAGTTGAGTGAGTCTGGGTGATTGAAAAGGGTGACTTAGCACCTCAGACGAATTTGAGGGCTAAGGCCGCACGGTCAAAATTTAGATCTGTGACAGTTTCCGGAGAAGCTTGATAACAGAGTTGCGAGAACAAAGATGAACCGACGAATATGGGGTTACGCGAAGAAGAAAGGATGTAGAGGGGGTGGGGTTCTCCTCGATAGTAACTACTTAGGGATTTAAAAGAGCAGACAAATAAATTAATTTAATATTTTTTTTTGCTAGAATAAAGTGATAATAGTGAGGGTGATATAGTCATTTTTCGGACTTCACTAACATATAATTGGTGAAATAATAACCGAAGGGCACATTTGTTTCACTTTGATAGTTGAAGGACATAAAAGTGCAAAACAATAATAGAGTGACACGTTTGTTAACTTGCAATAGTAGAAGGGCATGAAAAGAAAAAGAGAGAGATTGTTAGGTGGCACATTCTAATTGAATTACTGAAAAACTAAAAAACTTGTAATTTGCTAAAAATCTATGGTGACGTGGAGGCTTGATGGACTCAATAATTGAATTCACGAGGTTATAAATTAAAAATAATCTTATTATATTCTATGATTTGTGATCCCACTATTTTTTTCCGTTGAATTTCCCATAACTATAAGGCTAACCGTAACCCGCAACAAAAAAAAAAAAATAAGAGGGGAGGGAGGGGATGGGGGTTTAAAGGGCCAAAATGGCCTTTTAGCCCCCATGAAAAACAAAAATAACTGTAACCCTGAGGGTTAAAAATTCATGTTTCGCATTTAGTAATCCTAGCTTATGAATTGTTAATGTTATGTTTTTAATTTAAAATTTCTATAAACGTTCACGATGATTTGATACGAACATCCCGATAAAATTTGATCAAATTATGAGATAATTTTGCTTTTAGTTGAAATGGAAGAAAATTACACCGAATGAACTTTGTTCAATCAAATTACCAAGATTTTGAAAAATTGAAGAAAGTGGCACCAAAATAAATTTCATTCATCAAAATTTCCAATTTTTTATTATCAATTCCGGAGATACTTTTGCTTTTAGTGGAAATGGACGAAGAGCTAAAATAGCCCCTAAGAACTTCATTTATCTCTTTAACACTCCCTTTTAGCTTGAGCTGAAGAGCATTTTTATATGGTTAAAATGTCATTTTGGCCTTTCAGCCAACGAATTGTTGACAGGCGAACTGAAAGTTTTAAACCATAATAACAAGGCAATTACAAATCCATCTAATTTTTCCCATTCAACAAGGGAAGAAAACAAGAAAAGTATCATTTCTGAGTGTCCAATATGTAGATTTCTAAAACAAACCATCTTGCATCAAACATTAGCATTATCACGAGGAAACGTAAAACCATAGTGCTCCAATCATGCATTTTACAATACTTTATCAAACGAAATTGCATTGTTCTGATAGCACTTGTTAGAATTAAATTTAACATATATATTTCCCTCAATTTCATCTTGCGAGATTACATAATATAAAAATATACATTTATTCTTATCGATTGATCATCAAGAAATTGATATAATTTCTAAAAATAATATGAAAATGAAAGATATTTTTTATTTAATATAAATTTTTTTTTGTCTCTATCATCCTCAACAACATATTTATTTATAACATTATATCACAATTCTCCCAAATATCATCTTCCCAACATTATTCTCCCAAACCACAACATATTACATATAACATACTTCGCACGAGTAATATTTTATTTATTCAGCAGTTTTCCCACCAGCCACCGTAATGTCCAAATCACGCTGGAGTTTGTTTAATGACTCCTGCAGGCTTGCGGATTCTTCCACGGTGCAAACGTTGGAGCGCATAAAGTCTTTCACTTTGTCCATTTGCTTCTTCAGGCTCTTCACCTACATGATTTTTTAATGCTCAAGGTAAAAATGGGCAAAAAGAACAGAGAAGAAACAGAGAGCTCATGGATCCGACAAACCTTCCTGTGAGGCCACCGTGGCACGCCGTCTTGACGACAGATCTTCTTGAGTACAGTGGGGCACAGATTCAGCAGGCGCGCCGCTTCTTGGATTGGATAGTCGAAGTAATCGGCCAGATCTTTGTACTTCAACTTCGCTGCTCTCTCCCTCTGCCCGCGTGATCAAATTGTTAGAAACAAAGTTACTGAAAACGAACTTCACAGTTTCCCAAAAAATTCATGGCGACCTGTTGGAAACCAATTTGGTTGATTGAAATCTCAAACATACAACGCACCTGTTGTGAAAGGTTGATCTTTGGTGGTTTCCCTCCTTCGCTTTCTTCCGGTTGTGGCTGCTGCTGCTGCTGTATCAGAGGCAGAGGCGGCTGCGATGATTCTGCTGTTGAACAGAGAAATCAACCAGAAGAGATTGAGAATTGTAATTGTATGGGAATTGGATGGAGAAAGAAAACAAATTTAACCAACCGAAGGCTGTAGGAGAATGATCCTCCAGATTTTCATTCCAGTCATAGCCGACACAGAGGGTCTCGTAGAACATTGAGAGGCTGTCTTGTTCGATGAAAAAACCCTGCCTTTCTTTCGCAGCACAGTATTCCTCCACCGAACGCTTCACCGTTTCCAAGCATTTGTTGCTGTAGCTGAATTCCCCACAAATACGACGATAACGGGAAGTTAGTTGCGAGAAGAGAGGCAACGCGACGTAAGGAAGAGAATGAAAGAGGGAAAATGCCGACTCGATGAATTGGAAGAGGGACTCGGCAGGTAGATCCGCGGAGTAATGGCGGTGCTCCAGAATCGCGTGGCAGATCACACCCACTCTCCCGTGAATCTCAAGTTTTGTAGTCACCATCTCTGCTACACAAGCGAGGGAAAAAAAACAAAAACTTTACAAGTTCACTTATGACATCAAATGGAAAACCCATACTAATTGGAAGAAGCAGAGCATAGTACCACCATTGGAGTGGACGATTTCCCTCAAAACTTGACAGCAAACGCAATTGGAAGCCCGCCAACCCGAAATTCGCTGCGCTTCGAACCCCGCAGTTTGAGTAGACGTTTCTCCATTGTAATAACAATTCTGGCTCTGGCTCTGGCTATTGCTTTCGTAATAATTCGACAATGGGCCCATTTGCTCCATACCCTTTTCATTTCTTACACCGTCGCAACCTTGGGTTTCCGATCCCAATTGGTCCACCATGACATTCGTCGTCGTCGTCGTCTCGTGACTGCAGGCTCCTACGTGGTTCTCGCCGGAGTCGGTGAAGAACAAATCGAGATCCCATGTCATCGGATCGTCAGCATCGGGAACGACAATTAGTCCGGTTTGTTGAGGATTGGTAACCGTTTCGAATTCGGGGTCCAGATCGTTTGCATTTGGAATCCTCTCAGGTGTTATGAGAAATCTTTCGATTGCTTCCAGATCAAGTTCGTCTGGGTTTGGGGCCTGATAGGGTACAATCTGGTGGGCATCCATCGTCACACTTGAAAATACTGCGGCCGTCCGCGGAAATCTTCGTCCAAGATTCCTCAGGCACCAGAGAGTTGTTGCTTCTGGTGCTTGAGAAATCTGGATGATAAGACCGGCCAATTTTCGGCTCTCCGGGGGGGAATGAAGGGGCTGGCTTCGTGGTCTCTCTCTGTGTTCTTAAAGAACAGAGGATAGGGTGGCGGGAAAGAGGCAGTTAGCGTCGTTAACGATCTTGTCGGTTGGCAGTTTTCGAATTTCCCTCCAACGGCGTCGCTAGTTCTGGCATTTGGACCTAATACGACGCCGTATGTGTGGGCGTTAACTGGTTTGATCACTACATTCATGAATGCACAGAGTTCAGGAGAAGTTTTGGCTAATGGCTACTACAGAGCACGAGCAAGCCATAATCATAGCAGATATATCATTGCCAGTTCAAGCTGAATTTATCCTTTTTGACGTCAGTTTATCTTCTTTTTGGTCTGATTTTGTGCGGATAATTGATGTATGAATCGGTATTTGAAGAGCGGAAAAGTATGTATCGAATGACTACTTGTACCTTCTTTTTTGTCGCCTAAATGTACGAGGAAGAGTGACTTGACGGAGGAACTATATAAAGGACTTGTGGATTTTTTCCTATGTCAATTGTTGGTAATTCAACCTTGAAGCACAAGTTGGTTCGATTGGTATTTGGCACCCTTAATTTATAAGTAGAAGTATGCCGATTGAATTTAAGTGGTCAAAACAGAATTCGACTCTAGTGATCATTTAGTCAATTTGTTCAATCAACTTGACCCGCAACTAATTGTCTGTAACCTGAGCTTATTGAAATTTGATGACCTGAGCCACAACTTTCATTCCCCAAACTAGGCCGGTGCAATGGAGCTAAATTTTCTTTAGCTTGGCTTACTCACACTCAGCCAATGGAAAACTAATTTCCTTCTCTACCCAGCTTGGGAGCTGATGGAATCAAGAAAATTTAGAGAAAGAAATTAAGGATTTTAGAAAAAATTGAGATTGGGAGAGGAAGAATCGAGAAAAAGAGGGATAATTGAGAATTAGATATTCTATTATTTTCTTACTTAATTCTCAAATAGGATTGAATAGTGCTTTGCTAAATAGCATACACAATAAAACAGTGTTTCTAATTATTCTGGTACTTTACGCCGATTTCTGAATCGGGAATCTGATGTCATCAACTACTCTTTAACCGCATACTACCAACTACTGAAGCCCTAATCGAGAAGGATGTCCCCGTGGTTCTCTGATGTTCGGTTTGTTGGGCTGCTTTAGAAACAATGGAACACTTGTTTCTTTATTGCTCGGTGGCGTGAGCCCTTTGAGACTATTCGGGTCTGGAGTATCTTGGGCAAGGGCTGCCACGTCACACTTTCCCGCTGTTTCTAAAAAAGTTGATGTCTTTAATACATCAATCTTCTCTGTTCATGGTGGTTATTGTTGTCCTCTGGAGGATCTGGCGGTCTCATAACTGGGTTGTATTTGAGGGAAAATAGTTGGGGATCCCTGCCTTGATGCGCCAATTTAACCAGCAATATGAGGAGTGATAAGTTTGTCGGTAGATCGAGTACTTCAGTCTTCCATCCCTTTCATACAACACTTAGGTCCTTTGGGGGTCTAATATGGCTGTTTTTATGTGGGATGGGGCTACAAGGAGTGAGTCTCATTCGGCAGGTGAGATGGTTATTACGAACCCATCTAGGGAAATCCTTATGGCTACTGAGATTCAATTTCCGTTGCTTGATGACCCTATGATGGTCGAGTTGCTCGTGCTTCAAGAGGCTATTTTATGGTGTCTAGGCCACGACTTCACGGAAATGAGGTTTGAAGGTGATGCTAAAGTAATCATCGAGAAGATCAATCGGGCTGATACTAGATTTAACCGGATGGGGGCTATTCTTGAAGAAATCGTGCATTACTTTGCCATTCACTCTGAGTTTAGTGTTCGATTTGTAGGTCGGCGTACCAATAGGGTAGCACATGTGGTGGCTAGAAAGGCCCTTTCATTGTACCCGACTATGAGTCATTTCTTTGATTTTCAGACCTGGCTGAACTCCAGGATGTAACTACCTATTTTTTGAATCAATATATGATTATCTTTTGTAAAAAAAAAAAAAACAACTACTCCGACACGTCCTCTCCTGTCGTGTTTCCATCACTCCCATTGAAGAACCGACCTTGCCCTCAAGGTTGAACACTCGTTAGCTCTGTCGGATTGTCTCTGTATCGGCAACGAACTAGACTTTCCTCCATGAACTTGCCACCTCTGTCCACCCATCATCTATGAGAGAATTTAGAGTCAGGTCTTTTCTATTTTTTGGTTGTTCATTGTCTTCGATCCTAAGTACATTGCCATGAGCAGTTAGTGATGACAATGGGTCCGGGCGGGGCGGGTACCTCAATACCCATGTTCCGCCCCATGCTATTACGGGTCAGGGCGGGTAATACCCACGCCGGTACAGGGCGTGGCGGGTCGACCGATCCTTATATGCTATTTGGAAAAAATACAAGCAACAATTTAATTTTTACAATAAAACGAATGAGAAAAGACTTCATGAATGGATAATAGTGATATTATAATGGGTAATTGAGTCTATTTAGTTAAAAGATCAAGTCTAACTAGTTAATATTGACCTAGAAAAGTCAAATTAGGAGATATATGAATGGGTGGCATAAGAAATTGACTTAAAATGGGCCAAGAACAGAGCGGGGCGAGACGGGTTAGAAGTTGGTACCCATGCCCCGCCCCACGCTACTGCGGGTCGGGTAATACCCCCTCCATCGCGGGCCAGATCGGGTAAAACCAGGCGAGACAGGTTCAAATTGCCATCCCTATGAGTAGTCACTAAACCAATTAGCTCACTTAACTTGAATCTTGCAAGGTTTGTAGATTCTTATATAGCAGCTACTTTAGGTCTCCATGATCTAGGCAGCAACTTTAAAATTTTATTAACTAGTCTGCATTGGTATACATTTTCCTTAAGGTCATTAGCCCGCTAACAATGTTTGTGAATCTTACATACATCTCAGCTATGCTTTCATTTTGTTTCATCTTAAACATATCATATTCTTTAACTAACATCCTAATTTTGTTTCATCTTAAACATATCATATTCTTTAACTAACATCCTAATATATGTATCTTTGACTTGGGATATACCTTCATATGTGACTTTCAGAGTGTCACAGATTTGCACATGGAAACCTTTTCGAACTCTTCACTTCCAAGTGCACACTTTAAGATGTGCTTCAATTTGGCTATGGGTTTAGTTGTAAGATGCGTCCAAGGATAATAAAAAACTGAATCGCTAAATGTCGCACTTAAAATTGCTAACGGTCGCCCTAACTCTAATGATAAATGACTTATATACCCCCAATAAAATTTCAAAATTTAAACAAACCAAACAATCCCTAACCCCTCAAACTGAACCCCTCATCTGCCTTCTTCGCGAATCCCTCTCGACGCACCAGTTCGTAGGCGTCTTTCCCGCCGTCGTCGTAGCCCGTTCTCTAACGAAAGTGAGCTGCGGTTACGGTTGGCCCATGGTGCAACCACAACTCACTTGCGGTTGGTCCATGGTGCAACCGCAAGTGAGCTGCGGTTGGCCCATGGTGGAACCGCAATTGAGCTGCGGTTGGCCCATGGTGCAACCGCAAATGAGCTACGGTTCCCTTTTTTGTTTTTTTTTTCTTCAATTTTTTGAGTGAACTTTACCGATTCAAAGTCGCTAGTCATGATCCAGACATCATATCGACGATTCCAACTCCGGAATGACGATGATGGATTCTCTCTTTTGAATAATGTTTTATTTTCTTTACTAAGTGGTGTTTGTTTGCTAAAAGAAGAGTAAAGAAGCTAAAAGGTTTAATTTATAACTTTGTTGTTTTTTAGGGTGACATTTAGTAATTTTAAGGGTGACTTTTAGCAACTCCCATAAAAAATCCCATATACAGTGAAATTCTTAAAGGCTTGTTGTCTTCAAACTTGTGTTGATCGACTTCCCGCCTTTGAAAAACCTGCGGAGTAGAAAAGAGGAGTGGTACAAACAGAGCACATGCAAACGAGAAGCCAAACCAAACAGACAGATGAAAGCTACAAGTAAGTAAATACACAGATTTTTTTTAAATCAAGTTTGGCCTATTGCTTTGTGCCTCAACTCAGAGGTTTCCAACCTTTTGAGACCTAGTTTCCTAGGTTTTTATCTTATTTGATAATTCTAACTTCAAATTCAGTTTCTTTAGGTGGAACTCAAACGCTTTATAGAAATAGAGCAAGGATAAGCTCACTTCTCTTCCTCACTACCACTTAACTCAAGACAAGAACATTCACCATCAGTGATGAACCTAGGAGTTTTTGAGAGATTTGTCGGTTGATAAAACTAAGTTGATAAATAAAAATTTAATTCATAATTGTATTGTTTTTTTTACAGCAAACCATGACGAATTTTCATATTTTGAAAGGCTTGTAAATTATATTTGTCAACCCGAGTTGTAACCACCTACTAATGCGTAGTATAGCGAGTTCAGCTTTATTTGTCAACCTGGGTCCCAAGTGTGATGACTACTCTGTGAGATTCTTGTTATCTAGCTGTTTAACTGTAGTGAAATTATAACTAATCTAACCAAACACAAATCAACAATGTTGTGATTCAAGTTCGAGAGAGGTCATCCAGATATGGTTCTCCCTAGATTGCAGTTAAGCCGAGTTGTAATTCACCAAGTCCAGATATGATGACAGTCATACTGCGGAAGGTTATTAATAAGTCTGTAGTCTCGACTAAATACTTAATGTCTTATGTTAGAATGATGCTAACACAAATTGGCGTTAGTACGCTATTCGGTGCCAACCGAAATAGAATGCATTTTTTAATATATGTATAACCTTCGTGTTAGAGTACAAGTTGGGATGCAATTATTCCAATTTGTATAGCCTATTTCTCTAAAAAAAATGTGTATAGCCCTATGATTTATTTTTTTTAATGGTTTTTATAAACGATATATGCACATTCTTGAACTTTAAGTAATCCAGTCACGAGGAGCCAAGTGCAAAAATCTTATGTAAGATCATCAACCATAATGGGGTCATATTATATTTTCACTAACACGGGTTCATATATGGATGGGATGAATAAATCACAAACTGAAAAATCACAAAAATATTATTTTAGAATAATTCAAGAAAAATGGATTTAAATATTGTGGTCAACAAACCAATGCAAGCTAGTTTAGAAGTAGGAAATAAAATAATTGTCTATCTTTTTTCTTGAATTGGATCTAAGAGCCTTTCATCCTATTTTTCAGAGACCAAATTTTTTATGTTCTCACAGACAACTTGTGAGAACATGCTTACAAATCGTCTGTGAACACCGTAACCAAGTTGTTTTGGAGGTCTATATGGATGATAAAAAGTTAATAATTATGGATACCAGCCTGAGTTCTACCCTGTCAGATAGGATACAACCTGAACTAAATAAAATATCATGTAGTATGTGTAAAATAAGAATTTGAATATCATGAGTAAGAGGCGGGTACGATTTTCTTACTATCCAATCTAAATTCCCCACCCGATTATATGTGCGTATACTTTATTTTGTATAAATCATCATTTTTTATTTCAACATATTCGTATTCCTTGTATATTTGGAACATCTCAAGAACTAGTGTTCCATTTTTTATATTATTTCTCGGAGTGATGTGATTTGTTATTTATAATTTTTTGCTTTACTAATGTTAATATACTTGTGATTAGCAACACAAAATTGTTGAAAAGATAAGAAAAAATTATTATATGTGGATATACAGAAATACTCGAAATCCAATCTGATATGTGTATGATTTTAATTTACTATCCGAATCTTGCATGATTACGTTACGTGTGTAGATAAAATTCAAACTAATTAAAGTATCATAATGTATAATCACTAAATTCCCCATATTCGACCTGCTTGCCATCCCTAGAGAGTAGAGAGGTCAACAAATGCGAGATTCCAACTGACAATAATCAGAGAAGAAAATCTAGAGAGATAACTTTTGAGCATGTGCTGAATTTTTTTTTCTTTTTCAGAGAGCCCCAGCATATGCCAAACAAAAGATTTACTTTTGGTAATTATTGTTTGTTACGGGCTAGATTGGTAGTTAATGTAACTTAATGGTCTCTGATTTAATTTTCCCGAGGAAACTACTACCTAAAAAGAGGCGTCTTAGACTTTTTTTTTATTAATTGTTGCAATTATTATAAGGCAAAAGAAAATATTGGCAATAATTTGGTACTTAAGTAGTATTTATCTGGAGAGACGAACCAAATAATAATACACAAAAATGAATGAAGAGATTGCAAAGAAAAAGTGCCCAACAAACATTCATCCATCCAAAAAGAAGAAAACAAAAAGGTGCACAAGCACAACCTACCTCTGCTGCTCTGCCTACAATTATTAGAACTCATGGTTGTCATGCCGGCCAGTTGAACTGGATTCAATCGGTTTTGGTTATGAAATCATCATGAACATTACCAGTGATTTTCTTACGATTTAAAAAAATGACATTGTTTTAGTGAATTTACTTAATAAAAAATAATTTCTTATTTATTTATGAATTTTAAAGTGAAAAGTTGATGTTATTTGTTGGATTGTAAGTAAATTGTCATTAAATTTGTTTTTATATATGATTAAGTTCACTGGATGTTAATGATTTTTATATTTTTACGTATTTTGTTAACTCAACATGAACCGACACAAACTGGTTATACTTATTCCACTTATGAAACCGGTATAACAATATAAACCGATTTGTGTAAGTCTGAAACTTTGCAGCTCTGCTTGTCTACCAATATCTTTTTTGACTTTCCTGCTTCCTCTTCCCACTTCCACTCAATTACTCATTCAATCTTCGCCGCACCTGCTGCTCCATCTTTCTCAAACTTGTTCTTAGACTAAATCTATCAACTTATGTGTGTATATATTTTTCCAGTTTTCCACAAACAAAAAGTTTAATATTATTTTCCCTACGAAAATCTATCTGTCTATTTATTATATAATATGTATATTTTTCCCATTTCCCATTAATCATTATCATATAGTCTTCTTGCTTTCCAATATCAATAATATCGTGTTTTTTTTTTTGTTTTATTTCGAGTTTCTTCTAATGTGGGTGTTGGAGAAGGTGAATCGGTGATATAAATTATTTTATTGCAGTGACGTCTCTGAAGTTGTTTTCCCAAGTTCATCTTCCCGGATCCTCCAGCTACCAGTAAGCAAGCTGCGAGTGGGAAGTTGGACTCTAATGGCTTTCAACAAAGAAGATGGAGTCCAGGTTTCTGTTTCTGGGTAAACCTACCACTGAAAACTCGGTCTATTAGGTTCTACCCAACAACGTAAGTCTCTCATCCGTCTTTTTAATTTGGGTCTCCTCTCCTCTCCACCCCTGTCTCTGTCTAATTAACAACACTTGCTCACCAGTCTTTTTCTCTTCCTACCGAATGTGGACACTGGTAACTATTCTGGAATAACAAGTTTTTGAAGTTTCTCTGAGAAACTCGCTTCCTTTCTATTTTGTTTCTTATTACTACTCTGTTTGGATCTTTGAATCTATTTGTCGTCGTCCCCTTTCTGGAGCAGTAGTATATCTATATTCCCTTATACCTATTGGGTTTTTGAAAATTTTTCTTCTTTGAAGGAGGAAGGCCGAAACAGGGGACTAACATGAGCACGCCAGAGAAGAAAAGCAGCAATGGCGGGGAGGTTGTTATAACATTTTCGGCAAATCAGAGCCCTCAATCCGAAATGGACGGCAGAACTCCCAAATTGGCTGCCTCCCTCGACCCGGCAGCAGCAGAAGGTTTTGGAGGTAGGCAGAGCGTTCCAACTTCACCCCTGAAGGACTCTGTCCCAGCGGGTTGCAATTCTCCTGAAATTTCACGATTCAGTCCTAGCCCCAATAAGCCCCCCAAAATTCCAACCAACACCGCCACTGAGAACATTCTTAGAAGGAGGTCATTTGCTAGGTCCTTGTATTCAAAGCCAAAGTCTAGATTTGGAGAACAGCCTTGTACAATTGATCCCAACACAATTGACGAGGATAGCACGACTCTGCAAGAACATTTCGCCTCCGTTTCGCCCTATAAGAATTCGTCTAATGCTAAGCCTGCCTCGGTTACAAGGACCGTCTCTATCACGCAGAAAACACCGTTGATGACATCTCCTGGAAGAATCTCCAAAGGTGAGGAGGAGGAGGACGGGGAGGAGGAGGAGGAGGAGGAGAGGGAGTTTGTGAGGCGAGTTGAGATACACAAGAAAAAGAGTAAGAGGAATAAAACTGTGGCCAAGTTTGTGATTCAGTGGGCAGCAATTTCTTGCATTGTAGGTTGCTTAGTGGCTAGCTTGACTATTAAGAAATTGGAGAGGGCCAAGGTTTGGGGTTTGGAGTTCTGGAAATGGTGTGTTCTCGTGATGGTGATATTCTTTGGGTTGTTGGTTACTAGTTGGTTTATGCACATTGTGGTTTTCTTGATCGAGATTAATTTCTTGCTGAGGAAAAAGGTGCTCTACTTTGTTCATGGCTTGAAAAAGAGTGTTCAGGTGTTTGTATGGATTGGTTTGGTTCTTGCAACTTGGGCCTTTTTATTCAAAGGGGAAGTTGAAGTTTCAAAGACTGCCACCAAGATTCTAGATTCTGTAACCTGGACACTTGTTTCTCTTCTAATCGGGTCTTTCTTGTGGCTGTTAAAGACCTTGTCGCTGAAGATTTTAGCTTCTAATTACCATGTCAAACGATACTTCGACAGGATTCAAGAATCAGTGTTTCATCAATATGTCTTGCAAACACTTTCAGGGCCTCCACTTATAGAGGCAGCTGAGATGGTTGGGAAAGTACCTAGCACAGGGCTATTGAGCTTCAGACAGTTGAAAAAAGGCAAAGGAACGAAAGAGAAAAAGGTGATTGACATGGGACAGGTTCACAGGATGAAGCAAGAAAAGGTTTCGGCGTGGACCATGAAAGTGCTGGTCGATGCAGTCACTAAATCAGGGCTTTCAACAATCTCGAATTCATTGGATGAAAGCTGTCATGTTGATGGAGGGCAGACAGATCAGGAGATTACCAATGAGTTGGAAGCAACTGTTGCTGCATTGAGAATATTCAGGAATGTTGCTCCACGTCGCTGCAAGTGAGACTCTTTATGTAGTCAACAAGTTGATTATATGATATTTGCTTCTTTTTCTGGTCTAATAATTTCCTTCATGAATAGGTACATTGAGGAAGAAGACCTTTTGAGATTTATGATTAAGGAAGAAGTGGATCTGTTCTTTCCGCTGATTGAAGGTTCTGAAAGTGGAAGAATTGACAAAAAAGCTTTCACTGAATGGGTGGTAAGGCTTTCATTTCACAAGTTTCAGAACGAATTTCAGTTGTGTTACTGTGTTAAGATAAGACAAGAAGATGAGCTTCAACAGGTTTCTTGTCATGACCAGATTCTCAACTTATATATGCAAATTGTATTCTACTTTCCTCACTGACAGGTGAAGGTTTACAATGGGAGGAGAGCACTTGCACATGCTCTAAACGACACCAAAACTGCAGTTAAACAACTTAACAAATTGGTGACGGGGATCCTCATCGTTGTATCAATTGTTATCTGGCTTCTTCTGATGGAGATTGCTACAACGAAAGTGCTAGTCTTTTTGTCATCGCAGCTTGTGTTGGCAGCTTTTATGTTCGGGAACACTTGCAAGACTATATTCGAAGCTATTATATTTGTCTTTGTGATGCATCCATTTGATGTTGGTGACCGCTGTGTGGTCGATGGTGTCCCAGTAAGTTCTCGAATGATTTATGTTTCTAATTATGTTTTGCTTTTAAATCCACTCTGAAGGCTGATGCTAACTCTTATTTCATTTGCAAACTTGACAGCTCTTGGTTGAAGAGATGAACATTTTATCAACAGTTTTTCTGAAACTCAATAATGAGAAGTTATTTTATCCGAATTCTGTTTTGGCTACAAAGCCTATCAGCAACTACTACAGAAGCCCTGATATGGGTGATACAGTGGAGTTCTCTATCGACTTTGCTACAACAGTCGAGAAGATTGGTTTGCTGAAGGACAGAATCAAGAAGTAAGCCGCCGTTTCTACCTTTCTGTTACCATGAATGAATGTGTTTGAGGGGCAATCTTGTGAGGATAACTATGGAAATTGCGCTGTACATTTGCCTCAATGGTTGTAGTTCTTAACTTCAAGTATCATTCTAAGATTCTGCAGTTCTGTATTTTTTGCCCTGAAAGTATATCTTATGTGCTGCTTATAGTCGATCCTATTTTCAGGGTTTGTTTGTTATAACGTTTGCTTTTTATTGGTTCTGTTTCACATTGTTGTCTTGTTATGGTCAGGTACTTGGAGAAGAATCCACAGCACTGGCATCCTAACCACAACATTGTGGTGCAGGAGATTCAAGAGGTGAACAAGTTAAAGATGGCTCTGTTCTGTAATCACACAATGAACTTCCAAGAATATCCAGAGAAGAACAAGCGAAGAACCGAACTGATGATGGAGATCAAGAAGATATTCGAGGAGCTGAAGATAAAATACTATCTCCTACCGCAACATGTTCATCTGAGCCATGCCCAGTCCGTATCAACCGATGCAATGATGCAGTCCTGAATTTGCTGCCCAATGCCCGCTGATGTGTGATCAGTCCCGTGGTAATCTTCTGACGATACAGTCATCACTCGGCCATTCTCATCATACATAAGTCTGGAGTTCAGCATATAGTTAGAAGTGAACTCAGTATTAAGAATGATAGTTACCGCCTTTCCTCGCAGGTGTGTCTGGAGTTCCTGTGGAGAGTTGAAATAGCAGAAGCTCAGCAGTCCTAAAGGTTGGTAATGGATGCTGTTAGTTATAGATGTAGGTAGGTTAATGATGTAATCAAACTTGAGTAGAGCAGTTTCTTACATTGGAATGTTACATCTAGAAGGATTTAGTCTGTAGTTGCTCGGGCCTTTTTGAGGATGGATCGTGGATATGATACTGAGAAATGAGAATGGTAACACGACCGGCCTGGGCTCCCTGCTTGAATGATGGTATTGGTACTCAAGCTACGTGCCACCCATAGCCACCTTTCTGAAATCTAAGCAACCAGTTACGCACTTGGACAAACGAAGGGCTGGTTCTTCTAATCTGATCTATTCAGGATTTGGCCATAGATGCCTTCCTCTTCAATTGGGTGGTTCTCCTTCAAAACAATGTGCTTTGAGAACTTAATTGACTTGAGAAATGTAGATCGTGACAGGTAGAATTTTTGTTTCTGAGTTAAAATTAGGGGTGGCTATATGGTTCGATCTGGTTAAATTGGTCCGAATTGATTTGGTCTCGGTCCGGTTTTTTCGAGAATATAAAGATCAAAGATTGGATTGGATACAGTCCAGTCTTGACTCGGTCCGGTCCCAATTCGATTTCGATTTTAGATTGAGTTTGTGGAAATTTGAGTGGCCTGAGACCTCAAAAGGTGAGTAGTTGGTTAAGTTTTGGGTGTTGGGGCTCTCTTATCCGGTCTTTATCCGGTTTTTGATCTGGTTCCAAATGATTTTTTTATCTTAAATCTAAAGTCGAAGATGGGATTGAATTGTTTGCTATCCGGTTCCGGTTCGATCCCGTTTTGAGTTATACTGTCCGGTTTTGGGTACACCCAAAAAGCCTGGACTAAATAGCCAACCATAGTTAAAATGGTCCCATCGGAAGTGGATTTCATGATCGTTGAGGTCACAAGTGATGTGTCGCTAAGGTTGCAAGTGATCTTTGTACGATCTCTCACAAATTGCAGCGATCTCAAGCGATCTGTCCATAAACGAAACGTGTGTAGTTTAGGGAAAAAATTATGGACGGGCTAAGGTTATTTAGTGTACTATGGCAGAAGGAGGAAAAAAATAAAACAATACGAGTTTTTTTAGAATTTTATTCTTATAAAGACATTATTTTAGATATTAAATTCACCCTAAACTATAATTATTATTATAATATATTAAAAATAAATGAGAAACTACTATGAAAACTAATCGTGCTTAATGATTTTCAATATTTTCATAAATAAAAAAACAAACATCCCGATTATAAGTGTTGCCAATGCCCAACGGTGGGGTCTTTGTGGGAGGTTCGAAGCAAGGAAGGATTTGAGGCAAGGTGATCCACTATCGTTGCCATACTTGTTTATGGTTGCAATGTAGATTTTTGAGTGCTTAATGAAGGTGGCCGCAAGAGAGGATCAAATACCTTATCATCCCAGGTCTAAGCCCTTTGCTATGACTCATGTTTATTTTCCTGATGATTTAATGGCTTTTTTCCAATGGATCAATTAGAGGAGTTGTGGAGATTCGTAGATTGTTTGATCATTTTTATAACACATCAAGTTTAAAATGTAATCCGATGAAATGTCAATTCTTCATTGGAATTTCAAAGGAGGAGATAGTTAGAATATCAGAGTATACTGAATTCCCTTTATGAACCTACGTGTTCGTTATCTCTGCGTGCCCCTTATTATTGGCAAAATTGCATAGGAATTACCATTAAGTCCTTATTGATATGATTACTCATAAAACGCGGAGCTGGAGATCAAAATTGTTAAGTTACGCAGGTAAAATTCAATTGGTATAGCGGATATAGAAGGGTGTTTCGGTCTTTTACTTTGCTCTAACCCTAGCTCGTGTTGCCTGTTAATTACGAGTATAAGTAGTGTGTAAGTAGCGGTTGGAAACCCTAATGAAAAGCTGAGATAGCTGGTGTTCGTTTTCCTTTTCGTTTCAATAAATTCTTCATGGTATCAGAGCTGGTTATATAAATCGATTGATCAAAGATGAGTGGCGGAACTGGCGGAGGCACGGTGAGTACCGTGGTCAGCAGCAGTGTGAACGCCGGAGGATTGGGCGAGGATCCCTCAAGTTTGGCGGCCGTGTTGCGGATTCATTCCTCCGATAACCCTGGTCAACTCTTTGTTGGTGATCTCTTAAACGATCAAAATTATGGGGAGTGGGTGAGTGATATGACAGAAGCGCTCCTTATGAAGAACAAGATGGGTATCATTGATGGTTCTGTGCCGAAACCTGCTTCTGGAGCCGAAGCTAAAGCCTGGACGCAGTGCGACGCAATGGTGAAAGGTTGGTTAAAGACGGCTATGGAGAAGGAGGTCCGCTCCAGTGTTCGTCATGCGCGCAACGCGAGGGAGAATTGGGTAGATCAAGAACCGTTTGGAAAGGGTACATCCCCTAGGGCTTACGAGTTACGTCAGAAGCTGAGTCTCTTACGTCTAGAAAAGCTCAGTGTTTCTGGATTCTTCACTAAGTTACGTGGAGTATTTTGAGGAGATGCAAACCATCACCCCTATTCCGAAATGCATGTGCGGTTTGTGCACTTGCGACATCAAGCGCCGGGTATGTGACAATCAAGCTAATGAACACTTGTTTGATTTCTTGATGGGATCAGATAAAGCTTTTTCTACCATCAAGACTCAAATCTTATCAATGAATCCCACTCCAAGCCTTTCAGAAGCATACAACATAGTGTCAACGAAAGAGCAACACAAACATATATCTGTTGCTCGCCAGCCTATTAGTGAAGCGGCAACTTTTCAAGCTCGCCGTGATCGTGATGGCTGACGCGACCGAGATAGAAGTCGCGATCATGATGGAGGGCTGGAGCTGCAAAGGTCTGATGACCTCCGCGATCGGGATCAAGACCGTGATCGTGAGAAGCCGAAGTGCAGTCACTGCCACAAGATCGGCCACACACGAGAATGGTGCTATGAGCTGATTGGGTGGCCAGAAAAGGGGTTGCGCCAATCTGATCGAGCTGAGCGTGATGGTGGACGCCGTGGTCCTAAGCCTACTCCAAGGGGTGCGAATTCTACAACAAGTGCGGGTGTTTCTATTCCGAGATAGGAGCAAGTCCAACAACTAGTGTCTTTCCTCGGCCAGAACAACGGTGGTTTTTCTTCCACTCCATCTGAGTCGGCTGCAAATATGGCGGGTAAGTCTTTTCTTCCTTCAGAATGGGTGATCGATTCCGGATGCAATGAGCACATCACTAATGATGAAACCTTGTTGGGTACAAGTGATAGTTCAGCAACATATTTACCTGTGAAAATACCCCGATTCATTTTTCAGACAAGCACTTTACTATCCTTCTATGAGTCTCACGACATTGTTCTGCAGACCTCTTGTACTGACACGTTGCAACAGAATGGGGTTGCTGAACGCAAACACAAACATCTTCTTGAAACAGCTCGGGCTCTTCGTTTTCGTGCGCATCTCCCGATTCATTTTTGGGGCGAGTGTATACTCACTACCACATATCTAATTAACAGGTTATCGTCCTCAATATTGCAGAATCAAACTCCGTATGAAGTTTTATTTGGTCGGACACCCCATTACTCCCATCTACGAGTTTTTGGGTGCTTAGCTTATGCTCGGGACAATCATAAAGGTCTTGACAAATTCAGCGACAGGGGGAGACGTTGTGTGTTCTTGGGTTATCCGGCACATCAAAAGGGTTATTGTTTGCTTGATCAAGCTACGAACAAAGTGTTTACCTCGCGGGACGTAGTGTTTAAAGAAGTTGTCTTCCCTTTTGGCAAGGCATTACCTCCTCCAGCTTCTCCTTGTGTGCCCCCTCAGGTCGCTCCTGTCAGTGATGAGGACGAGGAATTGGTCGTTCCACCCACTGATGGTGCATCTTCCGCTGCCCCCATCCCGTCTCCCACACCTCAGGCCGTCTCATCGCTGCCGTCCGATGCGTCCACCTCTTCCGATGCACATCCTGTTCTCCGGCTAAGTGATCGTACTCGTCATGTTCCCAAGTTTCTCCAAGACAACTATGACCTCGACCTTCCTACGATGTCTTAGGTATCTTGTTACCCATGACCAGTTGTGTCTCCTACCATGTTTTCTCCCGAGCACATAAGGCGTTCCTCGTGGCCGTCTCTCGTGAACGTGAGCTCACCTCCTTTCGTGAGGCTGTTTGTCACGCGCACTGACGGCTTGCTATGCGCAGAGAGATAGGCGCCCTTGAGGTGAACGGTACCTTGTCCTTGTCTTCCCTTGCTCCCGGAAAACGTCTTGTGGACTGTAAGTGGGTTTTCAAAATTAAGTATCGTCCCAATGGTGAAGTTGAGCTTTACAAAGCTCGTCTGGTAGCCAAAGGCTACACCCAGGTTGAGGGAGTTAATTACCATGACACATTTGCTCCTGTTGCTAAGCTTGTGTCTGTTCGAAGTCTTTTAATTGTTGTTGTACATCGCGGTTGGCCTGTTCACCAGTTGGATGTGGACAACGCCTTCCTGCACGGTGATCTTGATGAGGAGGTTTATATGCGACTTCCTCCAGGCTTCGCCAAGGATGGTGATGCACATGTTTGCAAGCTGCAAAAGTCGCTATACGGGCTGAAACAGTCCTCTCGAAATTTTTATGCGAAGTTTACTTCCATGTTATCTTCTCTTGGATTTGTGCATTCACGCGCTGATTATTCTCTCTTCACTCGTCGCACACCGACTTCTTTTGTGGTGGCTCTAATCTATGTGGATGATGTTATTTTAGCGGGTGATGATCCTGCTTTTATACAGCATGCGAAGGATACTTTGCATAGCTCGTTTGGTTTCAAGGACTTGGGTCCCTTGAAATATTTTCTTGGTATTGAGGCTGCTCGCTCACCTTCTGGTATAGTTTTATCTCAGCGGAAGTACACTCTCGACATACTCCGGGATGCTGATCTTACTGATGTCGTCCTAGCTCTTTTCCTATTGAGCAGAATCATCGCCTCACTCACCCCGACTCGGCTTCCATGGATGCTTCTCCCTTGGACGTTGCTGCCTATCGTCGGCTTGTTGGTCATCTATTATATCTTACTGTGACGCGCCTTGACATCACCTATGTAGTGAATGTTTTGAGCTAGTTTGTTCATGCACCCACTGCTACGCATGTTGCTGGTGCTGAACGCGTTTTGCATTATCTCAAGCGTGCCCCGGGCCAGAAAATTTTTCTCCAGCGAGATGTAGACTTGAAGTTGAGGGCCTTTTGTGATGCACACTGGGGTGGTTGTCACCTTACCCGTCGGTCCACTTCAGGTTATTTTATTACCTTGGGTCGTTCTTCAGTTTCCTGGCGCACCAAGAAACAGAGTGTGGTGGCTCGATCGCCTGCGGAGGCTGAGTATCGTGCTATGGCCACTACTGTTAGTGAGGTCATATGGTTACGTGCCCTGCTTCAGGATCTGGGTGTCCCATCTTCCTTTTCTACGCCTTTGTACTGTGATAACCATGCCGCTCTTAACATTGCCGTTAACCCTGTTTTCCGTGAGCATACTAAGCACGTGGAAATGGACTGCTTCTTCGTTCGTGAGCGGGTTACTTCGGGTGAGATTCTTCCTCAGAAAATCTCCACGACTGATCAGCTTGCAGATATTTTCACCAAGGGTTTGGGTTGTGATCAATTTCATAGCCTTCTTTCCAAGACGGGTGTTCGTGACCTTCATGCTCCAGCTTGAGGGGGAGTATAGCGGATATAAAAGGGTGTTTCGGTCTCTTACTTTGCTCTAACCCTGGCTCGTGTTGCCTGTTAATTACGAGTATAAGTAGTGTGTAAGTAGCGGTTGGAAACCCCAATGAAAAGCTGAGATAGCATAATTTCTCGGTGAAGTAAGCTCATTCACACCGAATGAGAAGAACCACATAAATCTGTGTCTCGTGTTCGTTTTCCTTTTCGTTTCAATAAATTCTCCAGGTATCCTCGACTGTCTCAATTGGTATCTTCTTCATTATAAAAGAAGTGGAGAAACTCTGTAATGAGTTTTTATAGAGCATTAATGAAAATAGTCAAAGAACTTGAGCTGTTGTGGCATGGAAGTTGGTGGCTAGGCCGAACAAAGAGGGTGGACTAGGAGTCAAAAGTTTCAAAATGCGGAATCTGGCTTATGTATCAAGGCATTTATGATATATTCTGGCGGAAGGAGGGGAGATACAAAATCAAATAGCTTCGTCCTCTGTTGGAACACGGCTATGGGAAGAGGGGCTACTTTGAAATGGAATGGGGAATATATGAATAGGTATTCGGTTGAGAAGGTGAGGAATAAGAATGCAATCCCTAGTCATTTTTTTATAACCCCCTAGACTTTCTTTCCGTTGTGGATTATTCTGCACAATAGATTGACATTCATTGCACAATAGATTGAGGGAAAACTAGGGGAGGGCAACTCAGGCCCCAACTCATCCCTTCTTTGGGTCCAGAGTTAGTATAGTATTTATGATTTTTTTTTATATTTTAGGTATAATCCATTGCTATTTAAAATTCGATCCAATATTATTTGATAATAAAATTTTGTGTAACTAGAAAAATGGTTGAGATGAACATATACACGTCACTATTCTAAATTTAGTCTAAAAATTCTAGCTCCAATGATTTTCACCTTAAAAATAAACAATGAAACCTTAAAATCTAAGTATAAACCTTCATTGAAATAAAAACCTTTAAACTAAAGCTCCGCCTCCCCTCTTAGAATTTATAAAATTCCCCCAACCCCTTTCAAAAAAATTATCTAGTGTTGACTTTACCCATTTCAACGGCTACCACGGAGCGAAGATTTTTCAGTAATGAAACATTTGAAAAATGATTTGCACAACAAAATTAGCGATGAATTTCCCGCTGATTGCTTAACTATTTTCTTTGAGAGAGAGAGTATGTTATTGGTATGAATGAAAACTACATTATTGATAAATTTGCTAAATTAAAAGACCGTCATGTATAATTGACATTCAATTGAAAACTATAATTAATATATTTTTGTTTGCGATTTCTAATTTTCTATTAAAATATGGTCCCGTGCTTTTTTATATGCTAGATCCACCGCTACTTCATATTTAAATTAGAAATAATGAATGATGATGAGAGTGATGTTTTCCGGCGAGGAAAACTCTGGTGTTTGATATTAATGCTTGCACGGTTGCACCTTCGACTTCTTGAACAACGATTCTAAACACGGTTCACACCTCTCTGAGCAATGTTCGAACGAGGGTGTTTGATGTTTTTGATGGCTAAATGAGAAACAAGCTAAGTTACGTTACTCTACTCCTATGAAGGTTTAGTGACAACTCCAGAAACTAAAAGCTACGACCAGGGGCGGAGGGAGAAGGTTAGAAGGTGGGTCCCGGGACCCACCCTAGTTAATCAGGTATGAAAAATAACATGTATTTAAATGAGAATGGTTGACATTTCAAATATTTGATGTATGATTTATAAGTTCTTTATTGACATATTCTGTTTTTCTATAACCAGTTGTGTACAAATGATAATGGTGCATATGATCCGCCACAAATTAAAGATGTATTTGTTCAATATCTTGAATAAATTTCAACTAAATCATAACTAATTTATAAAAATAATTTTTTCCCTGTAAGGAGTAGGAGAGTGTATTGGGTCGCTCCTAAGGACAAAAATGAGTAAAATAGTATAGTAGTTAATTGAGAATGAAATTTAAGACACTTCTAATTGAGAATGGTTGACCGAGAGATCATGTGTTTGAATCTTGGCGACCTCATTTGTTAAGCATATGATATTCAGATTTGCGAAAAATTTAAGCACATATAAGTTGGTTTTCGTTAGCGGGGAAGTGTTAGTAAATAATAAATATCATAAGTCCATTATTAAATCTTTTACAACAACTCAAGTTATTGATACTAAATAGTATTGACGAAGAACACCATTCAAAAGCAAATGCCTAACTAAATCATAAATAATTGGTTGATACATATAGAGTCATATTCTTGATAGTTTTGACATATATTTAATTTACCAAGTTTTGTAAATACAAAATTATATCGTGACTTATTTAAAATGCTAACAAAATTATTTTATCATATGTATTTTTTTCTAAATGTACTCACCATCGACAAAATACTAGCTACGCCTTTGGCTACATTGTAGAGAAAGGTTAAAGTTTGATGTGTTGTCAAATGTTTGGTTGTGAAACCCTTTTACAATCTCCATTTCTCCTATTTATAGACACCGAGTGTAACTGCCTTGGTAACCACTGACTGACATGTTGCTCCAATCGCCTTAGCGACCCCTTACCCCATCTTGGTAACCGCTAACGAGTCGTCTACTCCAACTGCATTAGGGACCCCTTGTCGATGCCTTGGTGACCAATGGGTAACCCTCGCCTTGGTATTGACTCTCATCACCTTGGAGCCTCTCACCCGCCTTTTTGACTGGTTGGTACTTGATGGCCTCGAATCCAGGTAGGGTGAGTGTTAAGTGTTCTTGCCTTGTCTTGACAAGATGAGGTTGAAGCTCGTAGCCTTGCTTCATGACGAAGTATTGACCTCTCCGGCTTGATACCCTTGTGCTTCCAAGCCACTCATGTCGGCCTCTGCTACCAAGCCAGCGCTGCCGACTTGCTCTCCATACCTCATTTTTGAAACCTCATCAAGTTGGTACCTTGCCGCCCTTGGTACCCTGTTGACTCCACACTTAACCAATTTTTCATGTCGTGGTACCAGGCCTGCCCTGCCCGCTTTGGTACCTTGTCGCCTTGCTATCAAGCTTGTCTTGTCGGTTTGGTACCTTGTTGTCTAACTACCAAGTCTGCCTTGTTGACAGTCTTAGTTTTTTTAGAGCCATATTTCTGGTCAAGGGTGAGGAGGCCGTTGACCATGGAGACAGGTCAACGATTGTGTATGGGAGAAGGCGCGTGGCCATTTAAGCCTAAAAACCTAACCCAACAAAATCCAACCAGCTCTTTTAATTTTCTAATGTTGACTAGAACTTTTAAAGCCATTAAATATCTTGCAATTAATGTGTAAACAAGTGATTAACAAAGTGCTAAAATCTATTGAGTTGGTCTCTAACTCGTCTCATTTGATTATATGCACGATTACACAACCCTTGGACCCAACACCACCACGATTAACAAGTCACAAGGGGGAGGATAAGCTTATCCTACAAACTTGGGCGGAGGAATAGCCAAGTCGGATCATGCGGATTCGACACGTCAGCCCGAGAATCTATGTTCAGTTTCGGCCGCTTATCATTTTAATCTCCTCACATCCTTTAGCTCCTCTGCAACGAAGCTCACCAGGCCCAGCAACACAAGAAGAAAGAAGAAAACTCGCACAAAAGAAAAAAAGAAGGAAAAAAATGGCGACAGTTTCAATGTCTCTGCCACTGACTTCAGCAACCCAGCTGAAGGGGTTCAACAACAATCAACCGAAAGGGCTCGCTATCATCAAGTCGTTTCCATCGGCTTTCTCCACCACCACCACCACCAAGAATCCCAGCAGCAGAAGATCCTTCCGAGTCGACGCATCGTCTCTGAAAGAGAGGGCGGTGGCCGGAGCAACTGCCGCCGCGTTGGCCGCTTCGATGGCGATGCCGGAGGTGGCGAGCGCCGCCGCGGATTCCAGCCTCACTCCGTCTCTCGAGAACTTCCTGCTCAGCATCGCCGCGGGCGGGTTCGTCCTCGCCGCCATCGGTGGAGCTATCGTTGGGGTTTCCAACTTCGACCCTGTCAAGCGAGCCTGATTGATTCACCTGGGTGTTCCTCTTCCTTCATACTCTCTCCATTATTGTTAACAGATCCTCCATTGATCGTCTCTCCCTGGTTTCTTTGAATGTGGAATGATGACCTCTCTTTATAATTTTCTTTCTTTGGTTGTTAGTCTTGGCTCTCTTCTTACTTGGGGCACTTCAAATTCCTAGCAATTTCTCTTCTTTAACATGGAAGAAGCATGCGCTCGACCGAGCTCCAATTTTGGTTCACAGATCTGGAACACCGCTTGGCTAATTGAGAAGGGGAAAGTGCAAATACTTTTCAACATGGATAGAGTCGAATTTAACCTGATAGGTGGTACGAAAACTTTCAAAAATCATTATAGGAGTTAGGAAACCAGTTTTGAGGTTGAGGTGTTTCGAATTTGTCAAGTCAAAGAACACATAAAAGAATTATTACGAAACAAATCCTACTAAAGAAGTCACAAATTAGTACTACAAATTAAAACTAAGCACATACATGGATTCTAGTAAATGCCTAGGTATATTAGGGCAGTCCATATCGTGGTACAAAAAGCTCTCTTATCGTTCGATCTTTCCTATTTATTTTTTTGTGTTTTAACCTGTAAAAATCGTTTAATTATATTTTGTATCTTGCTGCTTCCCATTATGTAGGATATCTTTGAAAAAAAAAACAGAAAGCAAAAGGGCAAGATAAACACTAAACACTAGGTAAAACGGGAAGTAAAAGCGTTGTTTAGCATTGCTTCTCCTAAAGTTTTCAAATTGGCCTGTGAATCAAATGAACATGATCAATCATGCTACTATTGTCATGAACCAGTTGATCCCAATAACTCGAGTTGTTGGGAGAAGTTTAATTGTGGATCATATACCACAACACTAACACGCCCCTTCAAACGAAAGCCACTCACAAGGGCTTGAAGTTTGCACAGGTATGAAGACAAGAATACCATGTGCTTAACAAATGGGGGTCACCGGGAATCGAACACAAAACCTTTCGGTCACAGAAGACTCTGATACCATGTCCAGAACCAGTTGATCCCAATAACTCGAGTTGTTGGGAGAAGTTCAATCGTGGATCATATACCACAACACTAACAACTATATGGCAGTTTTCGCTTTTAGAGGTGGTCGAGGTGATATACGTACAATTAATCAATTATGCTATTACGGTTACTCTTTCCAGTTAACTGTCTTTCATGCATCAATAATGAAGTGCTAACAATCACACATGAAGTCGTTCCCAAACAAATAATACACTGAATTGCTATTTGTCGCCCTAAAATTTAAATTTTGTCTCCCTAAAATATACCGAACTGACATTCCTGCCCCTAGTTCTAATGTCAACCTAAAATGCGTCGCGGAATTGGCGGCGGCCGAGAAGGGGTACCTGCACACGGAGGTCGTGGATTGGAATCTGTACGACGATGGTGGCCACGTTATCGTGAACGGGATTGACGGGGAGCTGAAATCCGACAACCTCGTGGCGGTGATCGGTAAGTTTGCCATCTGGTGTTTGCTGAAGCCGAGTAGGGAGGACGCCGACGATGAGTTGGAGAGTCGTTGCCGGGGTCCGTGGCAGGATCAAGTAATGCTTTGAGGACATTTGCGAGTACAGAGAGGCGTATGTTCGGAGAGTGGATGGCCTCCCGGTTCCACTATGGCCGACACTGACAAGGATATGATTACCATATTGTATCAAAATGGAGTGGTCGACTAGAAGTGAAAAACAAAGCTGTTTAGAAAGACCTCCAATTAAAATCTATATCCTATGTTTATGTTTCTTCTTCTGGTTTGTTGTTGTTTGATTCATTATAGTTTGTTATTTGGTGGTATACGAGTTTGTTTTGTTGTTTGTTTGATTAAATAAATGAACAAAGGGCATTAAAAGAAATTTGATTTAATTAGGGCGAAGAATAAGGAATTTTAGGGCAACAAATAGCAATGCCCATTATACAAACACAAATATTATATCGTTTAGTCACTAGAAAAATTTTATATCAATTTTGGTCACTCGAATTACTGAAAAGGTCACATTTAGTCACTCTCCCGTTAGTTTCCGTTCAACTTCATAAATGGAGTTGGACGGAAACTAACGGAAGAGTGACTAAACGTGACATGTTTCATTAATTCGAGTGACTAAATGTGACACGTTTCAGTAACTCGAGTGACCGGAGTTGAACGAAGGCTAACGGGAGAGTGACTAAATGTGACATGTTTTAGTAATTCGAGTGACCAAAATTGATATTAAATTTTTCTAGTGACTAAACGTGACACGATTTAGTAATCTCAGTGACCAAATGTGGCATTTAACCCACAAATATATGATATGAGCAATATTGATAAATGAAATAAGTTAGTCAAAGCATCATAGCACAATCTTTGGAACTTCTACTGTCGAAAATTCTAAACAATCCTCTGTCTTGGCAAATGTTTACCCTGAAAAGATGATCTGGAACATGGCAACTCCCATGAAGATTTCAGCTTTTAATTGGCTGGTCTTTCAAGGGAAAAAAAAAATCATTACTTTGGACTAGCTGATTGTTCGTGGATGGACGCTCCCTAACCACTGTTCTACTTGCTCTGCATCAGCGGAGTTTGCTACTCACTTGCTCCTGCACTGCTCTATTGCAAAAACCAGGTTTGGAATCGTTTCTACTTTCGACTTCTCCCGTTGATTACATTATGGAACATTTGGCTTCAAAGGAATGCAAGAATCTTCAGAGATAAAAGTAACAGTGCATACAACATCACTACCAAAGTCAGCACAAGCATTTACCTAATGCTCATAATCATATCCCGTCAACTCTTTCCAACTTTGAGTTCAATGTTATTTGATAATAGCTATGCTCCTGCTTTCCTACCACCATGAGTTGAATCCCTTTTAACTACTCTGGGTTAGCCCTGCTACGGCTAATGTACCCTCCACTGTTTTTATGAATAATATGACCACATTCATAAAAGAAAACAGCTGGGTGGGTTTGTTTTACTTTCTCAGTGCCCACTTGCAGTTCTTATTTTGTAGTCAATGCCCAGTTGTTTCCATAACATTCAATTTTACATGTAGAGCTCCATTGCTAAACCTAGTGGCAATGACGAGTTGTCAAACCAGTCAACTCTTCTCCTTTCTCCAGTGCAAGTATCAGCATACAAGTATCAGACATGCTAGAAGTCGGAATGGTACAAGCAAACAAGGCTTGAATGAGTAATTGGAGTGCGGCACAAAGGGCATTCTGGCTTCTCGTTGCACCACTCCATAATACAGATCCTGCATAAAAGGAGATTGCGTTAGCGATCCATGTTCTGATGAGAACAAGACATAATGCAGCACCGTGAAAAAGAGACGAAAGACAGAGAGAGAACCAGCAAAACACATGACCGCATGCTGTGGCAGTTGGGTGCTGACGATCACTCAGGCAGAGCGTACATTTGCTGACCCCACTGCTTGTTACCTGAATTAAACATAAATGTAAACATATATGACCACAAATGTCAATATTATCTGCAGGAACAGTAAATGTGAGTCGCGAGAGAAAGTTTTAGTGAACTATCCCTAATGACATGCTAGCGAGAGCATACGAAGGAGAAGAACACAGTAGCTTTGAGAATGGTTGTTATTCGCAACATTGTGTATGCTAGCTATTTTGAATTTGTTGGTAAGAAAACTATCCTTTGATTCGGAGCAAATTGCATATACGTGTATGAAATTGCACAAGAGATATTTGGTGTACCAAAATGAACATCTAGGACTCACTTGTCTCCGATACATCTGTTATGTTTTAGGGTATTGGAATAAGCTATATGGTACTCCACTTGCACTTGAAGAACAGAAAATAAAAGAAGAATCTCATTGCATTTGCATGCCATCGTTCAACTAGATAAAACATAGAATATACCTCTGAAGTCGATGGTGCTTCTGACGATGAAATTCCCAAGCCAGTCTCCATGGATACCAAATTTCCTTCCTCATTGAATATGGGAAGACCTTGACCTGCAAATGTATATACAGCGCAGCTCTCATTTGGTGAATGTATGAACCAAAAATAACAATCTCAAGAGTAGTTAGTTAAGAAGTTTTTAATCCATATATCAGTTCAGTTTTTCTGTGCATTCTCTTTTAATCTGAATTTTCAGTTCTACATATCACTGTCAACCGCTGATTCAACTAAAAGAGCCTTGCATAAATTTAAGTTATTGCTCTGTAAAGCACTGCCATTAACAAGGCATTCTTGCTCTGTCTTTTCACCAAAAGAATTGATTTTTCTGTCTTACGTTTCATTTTGATATTTCATCTGAACAATTGAACATAAACAAGAGAAGAGCAGCCGATTAATAACAGGTGAGATTCTTTCAGTTTTCTTATGTATTTTCTAAGGAAGAGGAGGTTGCAAAGAAGGAAAATCACTAGCGCAGTGAGCTGAAACTCAGATTGCCATCTTCAAGGTCATATACATGCATATAGTTTAAAAGCTAACAGAGTGACCTAAATGGAACTTAAAGGATGTTAACACAATTCACTTTTCTTTCACATTTTGGGGCTGGTTAGAGAGTTTATGGAAAGCTTATCTGTAACTAGCAGAAATAACAGAAGAAATGGCTGGCAAAGTCTAGGGTTATTTACTCAAGCTAGCTGTTTGACTATCTTCCAGGGCAAGAAACCTTGACTTTGTAATGACAACGGAACCCGAATTGTCACATTAGAGGAAAACAAGCAATTTTTCTTTTGCTCAAACCACTTTTGTTTATGCTAAGCAACAAGTTCTTAGTTTCCCAATGCTCTTTGCTTTTATGCAACACATTTTTCTTTCTTGAGCACCGAAAAAAGGGGTAAGGTTTTATTTTGCAACGGACATGGAAAATAATTGTTACCTAAAATTTTTAGAGTTGCAAGTTTTAAGAAAAGTGGTCACCACACATTGGGAAATGTATGGTAGCCGCAAGGGATTGGCCTACTGTTATTGTGGTTGTGGATATGAAACATCCACCACACCTTGGGTAAAACTTTCGGGTAATTCACTATTGAAAAAATGAAATCCTTAAGGCTTCTGCATTTAGGGATTCTACCACAGGAATGTTTTTATCGTCAGATATTTATGACCAAACAAAGTCCACTAGACAACTGACAATTCAGCAACCGAACAATTTTATTGGAACTCTGGAATAATGCCTCTGGGTAAAACTTTCGTTGCATATACATATAACTGTCCTCTAAAGTAAACATAATCTAAGGAATATGCACATGGTCTGGCTGCAATAATGCCAGAAAAACTGAATGTGGGCTTCGAGTAGTACCTGCAGTTTGGCGAGACCCCAAGGATGTCTGTTGAACTGTACTCGAAATAGAGGACAAGTTACTTCTCCGAAGACCTTCAGCCGCAATGATGCATAACTGAATTAGAAGAAATACACCAAGTATTTGGTACCTAAACCAGAAACCAATGTAGTCGTTTTCAATATCAAACTGCAGTTAAAACAAAAGTCGGCATATTGACAAGCTGCAAATGATGTTAGAACAAATAAACGACACAAGCAGCTGAGGCATCTTACATGTAAATAAGAACTTCAACTGAAAGGGGTATACCTTGGTCTTTGATTGGAGGGCTTCCCGATGAAAACATAACGAATGCCAGCTGCTCGTTTTGATATGTGATAATATAAACCTGTGAAGGTAAAAGAAATGAGAGAAAGAAAGACAGGTTTGGCGGAGAGAGAATAAAGACTACTTTCATTTACAAAAGAAAACGCCTAAATACAACTGATGCATGGTCTCATAGTAGTTAGTACATACCTTCAAAGTAGAAAAACATTAAGTTTGTCCGAAGAATCAACTGCAAAAATTCCCGAGCCACAGGGAGCATCTGAATGGAACAGAAGAAAAGTTCTCATTGGCATTGTTGGCCATCCAACACTAGACAAAGAAATAAGTAAAACTTGGGTACACAGTATACACGAGACCCATCTTTTATTCACGGGTGAGGTAGAGAATGGAGAAGACACAAGGGAACTCAAAAGAAAGTTATAAAGGATGATGACAACTAAAATATTTTGCAAACAAAAGGACTAGTGGATGTCAAACATCAATGAAAACTCAAACAAATAGATTTTCATCATAAAATGTACCAGAGATTAGAAGATTGATTCTTGCGGGTTGTATGTATAACTACAGTGCAGAGGGTAGACTTACAGCAGGCCATCTTCGAACCGTGAGCAACCAAAAGCTATATAGTTTCTGCTTTAAGTTTGATAGTAATGAAACTGATCTTCCAGGTGTTGAGTAAGATGAAACATCTACCATTGCAGAAGTCTGAACCCTATTACTTCCCCCTGGAGCCATTTCACCGTAGTCGTCATCAGACTGCAGCTCAGAAAGAACAATACCACGAGAAGCAACTCTTGAGCTGCAGAAAAGGTAGCGTGAATAAAACTTTAGAACAAGCTTGCAATTACGGAAATCATTCCCTTGAATTTTCATTCAGGCAAAGTAAGCTATAGCTAAATAGAAGCAGAACCGGACCTAATTCTTTCAGTCAGGTAAGGAATAGCTGTCTGATATAAAATGAAAAGAGCCCTCTTGGCTGGCGTTGGTGGAATTCCATAAGGCCCTGAAACCTGAGAGAAATACCCTCTCCATTAATGAACCCAAACAAGTCAAATCAGAAGACTAAATGTGAAAGACATGACACTTCCCTTAACGCCATCCAACCACATGAAAATTGCATAACCCAGAGAAATAACTAGCAAAAGCCACACTCACACCTTACAAAAACACAAAAGTGCAGTTCTGACTTCTGATTCTAATCTTAAACAACCAATAGATAGTCTGGCTTCATATCCTGGGGATGCTTATAGGAAGCTATGACTAGCTTAAAGTAGTTTAATTCAAGAACTACTGTCAGAGCTGGAGATGAGAAATGAGTACAAGAACTACCTGAATAATGTCGCAGTACTCTTCCCCAAGGGTTTGCTGGCCAGCACCTGTTGTTAATATATAATAAAGCATCTGCCCAATAAGCTTCGTCTGCAGAATAACCAGGGGTCCCCCATGAATTATCTATCTGGTGGTGTGTGGAAGTGGGAATCAGTACAAAATTCGCAAGCACATAATATATGCAACCAAACCTCGTTTTGGTAAGCCAGAGCAACTCTTGTACCTGCAAAAGATACACAACCCGAAATCGGTGCCGGGACAAAACCCAGAGCAGATTGATGTCAAAAGATAAGAGCAATTTGGGAATTGAAGCGGAGAGAGAGGATAGGGGGAAAAGAGAAAGGACCGAAGAGATGACGAACAGCATCGCGGCAGGCATCATAGACGAAAGAAGCGTACTGGTCATCCTTCTCGGCGGCTCTCATAATCTCCGGCTGAGCCGCCAACGGGAAGCGCCGCGGTTGGTTGCTGGAAGTGGAAGCCGTGTCGCCGGGAGGAGAACCGGCCTCTCCCCCGCCGGAGCCGTCATGGTCAGAGCTAGAATTCAGTTGCCCGCTACTCTCCTGACCCATTTGCCCTAAAAAGCCATCGACCATAACTTGGAAACGGATGCAGAAGGTAGAGGTTAAAGAGTCCGGGGAAAGGTGAGACTGTGAATGACGGAGGCAGAGACCGCCGGACCAGAGGAAAGAGAAAGGAAATTATGGCCTTCGGATATTGAATTAAAATTATAAAGGGAAAAAAATGGTAAATACAAAATAAAAAAACGCCGTTGCCGGGGATCGAACCCGGGTCACCCGCGTGACAGGCGGGAATACTTACCACTATACTACAACGACCTTGTTGCTTGAATTACTATAGTAACTTTATTAATATTATTAAAAAAGGCTTATCTTTATGTAGTGAATAAAAATATGTGGCCGATGAGAGAGAGAGAGGAGGAAGAAAAGGTTCTGCTCTGTGTAGTCTGTAGCGAAGGCAAAAGTAATGGCGGCGGTATCATCCACTTCAGCAACAACGCTCTACATTTCTGGGCCTCCGGGTGTTCACAAAAGGAATGGTGCCAAGTACTGTTGTTTCCTGTCATTGGAGAAGGGTAGCTCAAAGCTCCGTAGATGTGCACAACTTGTGGTGAGGAGCAGCTCGGACGCCGGCGGTGGGCAGTCGTCGTCGGGCAGTGCAGCGACAACAGAGGTGGAAGAAGGAGGATGGGAGGGCTCGATTGAAGTTCCAGAGGGACCTCCCTCTTTGATTTCTGCTCTCAACGTGGAAAGGGCTTTACGCGGCATCCGTAACTCAGTTTTTTCCCCTTCAACCCCCAGATTATTATTATTCAATTGATTGATTTCATTGGCTATTGGCGGCGATATCTGAAAAAAGCAAATCTGGAATTTCGCAGCGATTACAGATGTGGATCACTATGCTGTTCTTGGGCTTCGAAGAGGATGCTCTTATGAAGAGGTCACAGCTGGGTACAAGAACAAGGTGGATGAAGTGCTGAACAAGGGACTGGAAGAGGAACAAGTGAGAGATGAACTGGGAATTCTCAAGGTGGGCAAATGGTCGGACTCTTTTCATTTTGCATTCATTCATAGTACGTTTTGGGTTGATGTCAAAGGGCAAAATATTTCATTTGCAGGAATCGTACTCCATATTGTCGTCCGTGGAGGAGAGGAGAATGTATGACTGGAGCTTGGCGAGGAATGATAATCCAGAGAAGTACAGTTGGCCGTCGCAGTCTGATATCACGCAGATCGCCTCGCCGGAGACTCCGCCCATCTTGCAGGTCACTCATTTTCTTTCGTTCGGGAGCGGAGGAGTGAATGGATTTTGACGTTGGATTTTAACCGCAAGCTTGTTTCTGTCTTTGGGTTGAACAGGAGCCAGAGGACGACGGACCGACGAGAGCAGTAGGGTACTTCCTGTTGGGCTGGTTTGTGTTATCTGTAGTTTTGTCCATAGCACTCAATCGGTGACAAATCTCTTTTCTTCTTTTTAACATCTTTTCTACTTGGAAGGATGGATAATGTATATGTAGCTATTGATCAATTGGTGATATAGTATTGATCAATGCCGTCAAAATCGCGTTTTAAAGTTTATGTTTTTACACTTTCAGGTCATTTTAATGCTTCTATATAGAAACACACTTTTTTCTTACAAATGTAGTCAAAATCTACGCTTTAAAGTTCAAAAACTTATGATTTTACACTTCTATGTAGAAGAACGCTTTTGACTGCATTGGTACTAATTAAAAAGAAAATTAGAGTTTACAAGAACTAAGTATCTCCGGGGAAAGTACACCAAAGAAAATGCATACTACAGTGGCAAATAAACCAGCAATAGTAAGGATACAAACTGTAACAAACAATCAATCTAAGTCTTGGTTCCATGCTTGAACTTCAGCTGCTTGTTTGGGCTAAAGTCACTGCTAGCTCAATCTTGCACTCGAGGAAGGATCAGGCAGCCCAGCAAGCATTGGCTCGCAAATATGCAGACTTTTATTTCCTTTACTGCAAATGAGCGGCCAGTATTGTTGCTATTGTTCTATAATTCAACTAGTAGTTACTTACCTGAAACAGGGTATGAGCTTTTTGTCTACATTACTTTGCTTCATACATGCGGCATTCAAACGGCCTTCAAGAAGGCGGCAGGGAAAATATATATATATATATATAAGTGAATGGTTGTCACGCCGGCCGGGGTGCCATATGTTGAATCTGGTTCAACCGATACCAGTCATAAAATTGGTGTGACACCACCGGTATGACCGGCATGATCGATCTACGAATCTCTAAGTAAAATAACATTATCTTAGTGAATTTAATTTATTATTTATTTTATGAGTTTAAAAGTTAAATGTTGATGTTCTTTGTTGGATTCAAGTGGGATGGAATACGGTGACAACCCCTAAGGGGGTTGTCAGATTCACAACCAAGGGTATTTTGGGTATGGAAAAAGAAATATATTAATTACCTTTTGTATTAATTATATTTGGAATTAAAAACTCATATTAAATACAATTTTTTTTAAATTTAAATCCTATACATTAATATCTCTATCTATCTCTCTCTTCCTTTCTCCAGCGGCCACTCCGCATCGACGGACAGACTTTTTCTCCGGCGAATTCTCTCCGACAGACTCCCTCCGGCAACCTGAAAAAATGTACCAGTGCGTTAAAAAGTGTACCAATCCATTAGTCTACTGGTAATTAATATACCAGTGCTAGTGGTACGCTACCAATGCGTTAAAAAATGTACCAGTACTAGTGGTACGCTACCAGTACAACGCTACCACTACCGTTGGTAGCGGTATCAGTAGAGAATAAATGTACCACTAGCATTGGTAGCGCTACCACTAGCATTGGTAGCGATACCAGTAGAGAATAACACAAAAAAAAAAAAACAGATGATAGTGGTACGCTACCACTACCAGCTACCTTATGGTACCACTAAAAAACCAGAAAAAAACGGTACCACTATCACTGGTACGCTACCAGAAAAAAATAGTACCACTAAAAAACCAGATCTAGAAAAGGGGAGTCGGTGACGGGAGAGAGAGGTAGGGGAAGAGGGTGACCTCGCGACAGCGGCAGTGGTGGGGGACGAAGGGCGGCGAGAGGGCTCCGATGGGGAGAGGATGATTGTGGCGCGGTGGTGGGAGGCGGAGGGGCGCCGATAGGAGGCTGAAGGCGGAGGGGAGAAGATTTCGCTCCCGTCTCGTCCGCCTAGTAGGGAAACAGGAACTGCCGACGAGAGGAGGATCGAGCCGGTGGCGGCGGTGGTCAGGCGGAGGAGGAGGATAGTCGGAGATGGCGGAGACGAGATGGCTAGAGAGAGGGAGGAGAGAGAGAGAGGGAGGATGGAGGAGTTAGAGTTTTTTCTTTTTATATGGTAGGGTGAATGATTGGGTGTGGTAAATTTTTACCCTTCCAAAAATACCCTTCCTTTAATCTTAACCCTTAATTTAAAAAAAGAAAAAAGAAACAGGAGAGAGAACGTATCCAAGGGCTATGAAGTGGGTTGTGAATCTGACAACCCTCTTAGGGGTTGTCACCGTATCCCGTCCCTATAAATGTTTAGGTTTTGATGTTAAATGTCGTGTTTAAATATGAGTATTTGTAAGTTTATTTGTAATTTAAACTGGCATGAACCGGCACAAACCGATATGTACCACTGGTTGAATCATTCTACTTGCTAAACCCACACACTGGCAATAATCGGTTTGACAACCTTGTGTAAGTCTCAACAACACTACAAAGTATAAACATGATAGACCATATATAATGCACAACTTCGAGACTAGTTTTTTTAATCTGTGAGCCAAATATCCACCATCCAATGAGTACCAGTTGCAGAGCTATCTTCTACAACTAACATCGGCGGATACAGGGGGGCCAGACTGGGCCCGGGCCCAGCCCTCCCTGCCTCCCCAAGACCCAACCCAGCCGACATTTTAATGTGTAATTATTTGGGCCTAGCCCCAGTCTCAAGACCCAGCTCCAGCCGGCCAGCCCTGCAGCCCAAACAACCCAAAATAACAATCTCCCGCCCACCCGCCCCTATTCCTCATTAGCTTTCCCTACAAGTCTGGAACAAAAAAAAAAAAAGACGAACAGACCTGCTCCGCTGGCCGCTGATCGCTGCTCCCCAGTCCCCACCTCCCCGAGACCGGAGACCCTATGACCCTGACCTGGCGGCCGGCGCCAGAGATCCCTTGGCCAGGCTGGCCTCGTTCTTTCTCCGCAGATCGCAGTGGCTATAATGGAGTCTCTCCGTTTGTGATTCTCTTATCTCATCTGTGAATTGTGATCTGTCTATTATTGCAAAAAAAGTGCATAGAGAGGGTCAGTGATAAATAAAAATAGTTGTAATTCTCTTGTTGGGATTGTAACGAAGAGAGCAAGGCGGCATTTCCAACTATTTATGTTAAGTTCCGGCCAATTCCCTTCACAGTAGTGATTAGACGACAAGGACAACAGCCACAGGTAATTGCAATTTGCCAATTGATCTTATTGTCTTAGTTTAGTTAGTCTTATTTACTTAGAAACTAAGTTTGTACAGTGCAATTATTCATTAAGCCATTAACATAGAATTTTAGAGTAGGATTTCTCATATATCTTACTCGGTAGAATTTGTATCCAAATTTACTTAGAATTTAGTGTTTGACTGCGTTGTGTACATGTATAATTGGTTATGCAGATTTCAAGATATTTCATCATGACATCTTCTCAACCACCAAATAAAAAGGTGAAAACAACATTGTTTTCTTACTATCAACGTAAGGAATCTGAATCATGTCAGACCGAAGAAGTCCCTCCTAATGAAGGTCAACCATCTTCCTCTCCAGTTCAGAATGAAGCATCTACTTCTCCTGTATCCGGTAATCTACTTCCATCATCTAATAGTGGAGTTGAAATTGAAAGAGATCCAGGAAAGAGGAAACAAATATGTGATTGGGCTCTTGAGTTGAGAGATGAGGTTAGGAGAAAATACCTAATACACAAGGCTTATCAACCTAAACTCGCATACTATAAGCCGCGAGAATACCCAGATAAAATTCGTCAATTTCAAGAAGCATGGTATTCACAATTTGATTGGTTGGAGTATTCTCCTACAACACATAAATCATATTGTTTCCCATGTTTTTTGTTTAGAGACAAGATGAATGGGAATCAAACTTCTGCACTAGTGCAAGATGGATTTGATAATTGAAAGAGGGTTAATGGTAAGAAATGTGTGTTCCTTGTTCATGTTGGTTCATCAGCTTCTTCAAGCCATAATAAATGTGTTACAGCGGCTGATGCCTTGATGAAACCCTCCGGTCATATTGATAAAGTGATGCATAGAATTGGTGGAGAAGAAGTTCTAAAGCATCGATTGCGGTTGAAAACAACAATTATGGTTGTCAAACAGTTGGCTTTACAAGGAAGTTCTTTTAGAGGGCATGATGAATCTGATGATTCTTTGAATCCGGGGAATGTTCTAGCTTGGATTGGTTTTTCAGCGAAGTTGAATGATCAAATCAATAGTGTAGTTCTTCGTAACGCACCAGGAAATGCGAAATACACTTCACCAAGCATTCAGAAGGAGATTTTGGGAATCATAGCAAATATAGTGCGTTGTAAGATACGCGAGGAGATTGGAGATTCTTGTTTCTCTATTCTTGTTGATGAAGCAGTTGATGAAGCAGGAAGGGAACAGATGTCTATTATTTTGAGGTATGTCAGTTCTTCTGGTATAGTAACTGAATGCTTTTATGCTCTCAAGAGTGTAGCTGATACTTCTGCAGAAACACTAAAACAAGCTATTTGTGACGTTCTCTCTCAGTATGACCTTCAAATTGAAAATTTGAGAGGTCAAGGATATGATGGTGCTAGTAATATGTCAGGACAGTTTAAAGGAGTCAAGGCATTATTTCTTAGAGATTGCCCATATGCCTATTTTGTCCACTGTTTTGCTCACAGATTACAGTTGGCATTGATTACTTCTGCAAAGGTATGTGATCCTATATGGGATTTCTTTTCCATATTGGATTGTATCATAAATGTTGTGAAGGCTTCTCCTAAACGGATTAGGGAGTTGCAAGCAATTCACAAAAAAGATCTTGATGGTATGTTGGATGCTGGAGAAATTCAATCTGGACAAGGAGATAATCAAATGACATCCTTAAAGCGTTCGGGGCCAACTCAATGGGGATCTCATTATCATTCCATATTGAGCATTATAAACATGTTCAATGCAACATGTGTAGTTCTAGAGGATCTTTGCCGTTCTAAAGAAGGAGAACAACGAGCTCAAGCCAGAGGTGCTTCAAAAAATATCAAGACTTTTGAGTTTGTGTTCAATCTTCACTTGATGAAAGGGATTATGGATATCACGGATTTTCTTTGTCAAGCATTTCAACAAGAATCTGTTGACATTGTAGCTGCAGTTGGATTTGTTTCCATGGCAAAAGTTAAACTTCAAAAGCTACGGGATGAAGGATGGGACAAGCTACTCCAAGAAGTAAAATCTTTTTGCTCAAAACATGCCATAGAGGTGCCTAATATGAATGCTACTTGGACGTGGTGAGAAGCAACCAACTCTTGAGCACCGTTACCATTTTGAATACTTTAATCAATGCATAGATTTTCAGTTGGGAACATTGAATTCAAGATTCAATGAGTCCTCAGTCAGATTGCTTCAGTTGAGTGGTGCACTAGACCCTAAAAGTTCTTTCCGGTCTTTTGATGAAGAAAATATTTACAGACTTGTTGAAGAGTTTTATCCTCGAGACTTTGAAGGCAATGAGATGAATTGTTTGAAGAATGAGCTAGGATATTATGCCGATCATGTGGTTCATAGTCAGGGATATGATGTTTCTTCCCTTGCAAAATTACTAGAGAAGCTGGTGGAAACAGGGATGGGCGCACGGTACAGATTGATTTGTCGGTTGATTCGTCTAGTGTTGACATTGCCTGTTTCAACAGCTACTACAGAGAGATCCTTTTCAGTAATGAAACATGTGAAGACTGATTTGCGCAACAAGATGGGCGATGAATTTCTTGCTGATTGCTTAACTATTTTCTTTGAGAGAGAGTATGTTATTGGTATGGATGAAGACTCAATTATTGACGAATTTGCTAAATTAAAAGATCGTCGTGTACAATTGACATTGTAATGCAAACTATAATATTTTTTTGTTTGTTTACGGTATCTAATTTTATGTTCGAATTCGGCCCAGTGCACTTTTATATCCTGGATCCGCCGCTGACAACTGATGATTGACACATATGTAGACTTTTGAGAACTCCCCTTAAAATTAAGGCAAAATTCATCTGTATAGCCAAAACTTTGACATTTGTGACAATAATAGCCACTTTTGACAAAGTACCAAAAATAGCCAGAATGTTGAAACTTTCCTGACAAATATAGCCACTTCCGTTACAAACTTTAACGGTGTTAGAAACTCTGTCAGTTAAGTTACATTAGGCTGACTAGGATGCCAAATCATCACACACATCAGCGAAGTCATCAATATCATTGCCACATCATTTTGATTTATCTTTTAACAATTCCACTTGGATAAATAAATAAAAAATTCGAATTATCTTTTTATTTATTTTTATTCTCATATTCTTTCTCCTAACTTCATCTTCTCCGATTGAATTCTTTTCTTTCTACTCCGCTTCCTAAAAATGGCACATCAATCCACGAAATTGCCACTCTATTTCCCGAAATCCCTCATCGGGAGTCTAGTCCCCAGCCGCCGGGTGCCGTCCAAGATAACGTAGCTTCAGATCTCTGCTCGAGATTAGATGAGTTTTCCTCCGGCTGCTCCACAGACAGCTGGGGATTCGACTTTTTAGCCTCCAGTGCTTCGACTTCAAGATCTGCTGAAATCTACTTCCACTGGAGTGAGACAGAACAAGATGGACGAGTCGAAAGAAGTGCGCGACAAGATCTCGTTGTACTGCTTGTTGACGGCGTAGTAGAATCCCATGGGAGTGCATTGAAAAGTCTGGGATACAGATCCAGCGAATCCGACTCGAACCCGATCCTGAGCTTGATGCACGCCTTCAGCACGTCGAAATCCTCGATACGGCCTAGGCGGCTCCTCTTCTGGCGGTTGTCGTTGCCGTCATCGACATGACTCATGAGTGTGGATTCGAACAAATCGTCGAGCTGAAGAAGGCGATTAGAAAGTTCAATGGCGAAATCGAGAGAGGCGGCAAAGAGCTTGTGTAAAGAGGAATGCTTTTCGATGAGAAAATCGCTCCAATCAGAGGCGGAGTTCCCATTTGAAAGGTTGAAATCGCCGCAATTTTCATTCATGGTTGCATTTGGGGTTTTTTGTTGGGATAGAAGATGGTCGTAGAATCAGTATATTCGAAGATGCAAAATATGTATTTTGCTAGATCATTGATGTATTGTGAATGGTTTTCTGGTGAGTGAAGAGGAGTTTTCTCGACGGTGGTGGTCAGAGCGAGACGAAGGAAAAAAATCCGAGGAGATGAGCGGCGGTTGGGGGAAAGGGAATGGGAAAGAACTGGGAGGGGAGAGAGAAAATAAAAAATAATGAATTATTTTATTTTTATTTTGTCAGTTAATACCATCTCATTTTTTATTGACTAAAATGTTGACATGTTAGCTTTTCTGTTAGTCCAGTCAGCACGTTAACAAACACCGTCAAAAAATTGGACGGAAATGGCTATTTTTGGTATTTCATCAAAAGTGGCTATGTTTGACCAAACCGACAAAGTTTTGGCTATACTTGTGTATTTTGCCTAAAATTAAAGAGAGGCATCTGCATCAGAAAGCAACTCTCTCTCCATCTTAGATAACCAACCCTCCCCAACCAATCTATCAACTTTACACGTTATCTATGCAGCAAACAAATGATATGGGGAAACAAATATCTTTGAAAATTATCGTCTTCTTCTCCTTCCAAACCGCCAAACAAACAGCATGAATGAGGCTTTTTTAGGGTGATTCTTTAGGGTTGTGTGAGACATGATGAGACCATAATGTAATAACAATTTGCAGCTCATTCGAATGGATGGTTTCGAAGCAAATGTATTTTGCTAACCTCATCCAAATTTGTCTCGTAAATATGCAATGTTAGGAATAGGTGATTGGCATCCTCCTCGCTATTTGTGCACAACACGCACAACTCGGCAACACCCAACCTCTCTTCTTTAATGCATTGTGAGTAGGAATACTATGCTGAAAAGCCATCCACATAAAGATGCAGACCTTGAAGGGGATAAGTTGATGGCATACGACTCTAGTCGGAAACTCCATTGTGCCCAACTGTTGTTCTCCAATGCGTTGATCATATAAGGAAGCGACGTTGAAACCACATTGAGAAGGAAGCCACAAGGTTTTATCTGGATTCCGGACATGTGAGCAAAAAATTGGAAACAACAGTCTCAAGTAGATTATATAGAGCTTCTCTCTCCGTCTCCCCCCTAGATCAAACTTAAAGAGGTAAAACCCAAAAACTCTCACTCTCAAGGTTCAAAAACATTATCAACCCGACCACTGGTAAATGCGACAGCAACTACCATCCATAGGAAAAATTTCAGCAAGGGGCTTCTCTTTAATCCATGTGTCATGCCAGAATGAAATCCACGCTCCACACCCCGATTGCACTTGAGTGTATTTCCAAAAAGTTTCCTTCAACTCAGTGATCTATAACCAAGGGCCGAACCCAAAGGACCATACTGATCAGTCGTACCCCACTATATATTTCTATTTGGAAATTTAGTCAAAATAAGACATTTTCACAAAGAATCTCCTTCGGTGACTTACCTCCAATGCCACTTACAAAGAAGCAAAATATTGTGAAGGTTCACATCCATTATGCCCAACCATCTAATCCTCTTTGGAACTTTGCACCAATTTTAAGAGAGACTACCATAGATTTTGGAGCTAAGCAGAGAGAAGACATATTGGTTGGGCAGCAAGCACACTATTGCTACATACAATTCTTCCTCCCATCGACAAGAGCCTCCCCTTCCATCCGTTGAGTCTTCTTTGAAGCTTGTTGATGATCGGTTTCCAAATATTTACTTAAGAAGGATGAGCTTCAAGGAGAAGCCCAAGGTAAACCGTGGGTGAAAACTCCCACTCGCAGCCAAGATGTCAATATTGAAATATCACCAACCGGGTACATCTTGCTTTTCTCTAAGTTTACCTTCAAGCTTGTAATGCTTTCAAAGCACAGTAAAACTGCCAACACATTGACAACTTCTTCCTCCAAGGCGTCGCAAAAAATAATAGTATCATAAGCATACGATAGATGAGTAACTTCGCTGTGCATCCTTATTTCATCCATGCATAATCCATTAATATGATCCATCTTCTTCATTTTCAACTACAAGTCCGATAGCAGGTCCATGACTAAGGTAAAGAGAAATGGGGACAACGGATTCCCCTGTTTCAATCCCCTCTCCATGTGAAGACAAACTTGTAGCTTCACCAAAAATCCAATCATTAAAACTTCCTACAAGGAACCACCAATACCAAACCCAACCCCTTCCACGGTACTTGGAATACGCATACCTAACCGATAATTCCAAGTTTCTAGCAATCATAAGCTCTTCTATATCCCTATAACAGATGGCACAACTGGTGACTTAGCTTCGAAATCACCCAAAGGTTGTCGCGTAGAAAATCATCGATATGTTGTGAATGGAACCTTCTTATTGCACTCACAAGATATTAATGGAACATGATTATAAACCCGTGTACAACCTCAAAGGTGACTGATGAATTGTAAAATGAATGTTTTTATAATCCTTTTCTTGGAATGCTTTACTCTATTTTTACATATTTTATGTCATATTAACTTGGATTTGCTGGTAAATGCTCAAAGGTGTGTTAAGTAGCCTCTAGAGATGTCTTTATACTTTTGTTTCCCTTTGGGTAGTATTTTATGCACTTTTAGGCAAAAGCACCCTAGTGGACCACCTTGTATGAGCTGGAGAAATAAGGGCTAGAAGGTTGGACATCAGAAATGAAGCTAGAGCTCGAAGCCCATAAATGACAACCCAGATTTTCGACCAAAACCCAAAATGGTGACTCATGCGCCATTTTCAATAAGATTAAGATCAACTCATTTTCTTTGGATATCCTTTCCGTGGAGGCTAAGTTGTAGATATTATGAAGATATACAAACATAAGATTTTCCCTCGTGTGAAGTATCTAAAAAAACCTTATTGAAATGGTTATAAATAGACCCCCCAACAACATTTGGAGACACGTCTTTATAGGAGGAGTGACTCTACCGAAAGAGCAACTCGGCACAAACCAGAAGCAATTCGAGTGCCAGAATGGTGCCATAGGCGCCTTTTTCCTTGTAAGACCACCATTTCATAGAAGTTTGGTATCATGTCTTTTAGACTAATGTATCTCCTAGATTATGTTCCCATGAGAGGCTAGTTCGTTAGTTGTAGGTTGGTGAATCCTAGAGGTTTCTTAATAGTCAATTCTTGATTATATATATTATGATGTTTAAGTTTACCTTGCTATGTTTATTGCATTTAGGATATATATATATGTTATATTGGATGGATTGTGACAAGTAAGACATTATGATTGAACATATTGAATGTAATACACGTCTGGCAGTAACATATGCTTGTGACATACACAGAACTCCTTATCATAAGTCGGATAATTAAGTGTAGCTTCACTCAACTTCTCGCTGAAGTATGCAATTTGCCTCTTCTCTTGCATTAATACAGCGTCAATGCCCAATCTTGATGCATCACACTCCACTTCAAAAGTCTTGTTAAAATCGGGTAGCATCATAGCAGGAGCATGATTAAGCTTGTACTTGAGTAGCACGAATTCCATCTCTTGCTCTTTTCCCCAATAGAAAGCCACATTCTTCTTAATGATTGATGTTAATGGCACGACAATGGTGTTGAAATTGGGAACAAGTCTTCGATAGAAGCAAGCCAACCCATGGAAACTTCTTACTTCACTCATGTTCGTAGGAGTAGGCCACGCTTGAATCGCCTTCACCTTCTCTTCATCGACTTCAACTCCATTAGCACTAACAACAAAGCCCAGAAACACCACACTTGGGGTGCAAAACGTTTACTTTTTGAGGTTGGCATACAACTGCTTGTTCCTCAAAGTCTTCAATACATCTCGCAAGTGCTCGAGATGCTCCTCCATGCTCTTCGAGTATATCAGAATATCATCAAAGTAGACCACCACAAATTTCCCAATGAATGCTCTCAACACATGGTTCATAAACCTCATAATCGTAATCGGATCATTTGTCAAGTCGAAAGGCATCACCATCCATTCATAAAAACCATGCTTTGTTATAAAAGTTATCTTCTATTCATCTCCTTCCTTCATGCGGATTTGGTGATATCCTGACCTTAGATCAATCTTCGAAAACACACTAGAACCATGTAACTTGTCAAACATATCATCTAATCGAGGTATAAGATGATGATACTTAACTGTTATTTGGTTGACTACTCAACAATCAACACACATTATCCATGTATGGTCCTCCTATGGCACGAGAATGACAGGAACTGCACAGGGATTCATGTTCTCACGAACATGTCCTTTTTCCATAAGCTCATCAATCTACCTTTGCAACTCCTTCTTCTCCTCTGGATTCGTCCTATAGGATGGTTTATTTGGAATGGTAGCCCCATGAACAAAGTCAATTCGATGCTCTATCCCCAGGTTTGGAGGTAAACCCTTTGGAGCTTCCTAGGGAAAGGCATATTCGAACTCTTCTAATACCACTCGTACCCTAGGTGGTATTTCTTGAATCAACTCTTGGTTGAGTATCACGCCTTTGTATAAGATGATAAACATGGTTACTTGATCATTAATGGCTTGCTTCATGTCTCCACTTCGTGCTAGCATCAATGTCTTGGACTCCAAGTTACTTGAACCTTTCTTTTTTGCTCCTTGTGGCTTGGGCTTCCATCTCCTCCTCTTGGTTCCGCTGCATTTGAAGTTGGTATTCATTAACTTTCTTGGAGATAGGGGCCTTAACACGATCTTTCAACCTTTATGCAATAACGTGTACTTGTTTGTGATGCCATCATGTTGTGCATTTCGATCGAATTGCCACGACCTCCCAAGTAGAATATGAGCCGCTTGCATAGGCACAACACCACACATTATCTTATCCTTGTATTTCCCAATTAAAAACTTAAGTAAATCTTGCTTCGCCGTCTTAATCGAGCCATCTTCATTGAGCCATTAAAGAGTGTAAGGTGTTGGATGAATCTTGGTCTTTAACCTCAAGTTCTTCACACAACTCGCACTCACCATGTTTGTGCAACTTCCTCCATCAATCATAACCAAAAGAAGCTTACCATCTATTATACACCTCGTGTGGAAGAGCTTTTCCCTTTTCTCAATCTCTTCCTTAGGTTGGATGTTCAATAGACTTCAAGCCACACACAACTTGCCCGGAGGTGCTTCCATCTCTAGAGTCTCATCGATTTCACATTTAGATGTGTCCTTCTCTTCATGTGCTTCTTTTTCAGATTCGTACACATACTCACCATTCTCTAAAATAATCAACGTTTTCTTGTTAGGGCATTCCCTCGCAATATTGCCACGCCCATTGAACTTAAAACATTGAATCCCACCAGATGATACTCCTTGCTTGGCACTAGGGTTTGTAGCTTCAAGCTTTAGACTGATTTCTGTTGTAGGAACTGGAGTAGATCTCGTAGTACTTACAAAAAGTAAGAATCTTCGATTCTTCTGTTGCCTCTCCAGCTTCCTACACATAGCCGCCAAATCTTCAAGCTCAACAAAATGTTGGATCTCCATTATATTTAAAACTCGCTATTAAGACCATGTAGAAATCGAGCTATGGTAGCCTCTCTATCTTCACGAACATCAACTCGAATCATCAACATCTCCATCTCTCGATGATAGTCCTCAACACGCATGTTTCCGTTCTGGAGAAGTTGCAATATTTGATGCACTCACGTTGATGATAACTTGGCACAAATCGATCTCGCATAATGACCTTCATATCATCTCACATCTCAATAGGTTTGCATCAATCTCTCCTCCTCTTTGTGCACAATACATCCCACCAAACCAATGCATAATTCGTAAATTTGCGAGAAGTCATAGTTACCTTCCTCTTTTATGGGTAATGATGGCTATAAAATATTAGCTCCATCTTGCGCTCCCTATCTAGGTACGCATCCAGGTCAATCTTCCCTCTAAACGATGGGATGGTCACCTTAATACCTCGTAAATCATCATCTTCCTCTCTTTGATAGGCAATATCATCATCATCGAATTCCTCATAGCCTTCTTCGTCATAGAACGACGGGAAATTTCTTCTTGAAACCAGCTGCCCTCCCAAGGGTTGATGTCGTCGTACATGCTCATACAAAGGTCGTTGTATAACTTGACCTCTCATCCCCTCTTCTCGTCGACCCTTAGGGTTAGGGTTCAAGTTCTCGGCATGTTGAGGATGGGGTTGTTCTTGCTCGCGTGGTGAGGTTGCTCCTGTTGGCGCCTTTTCAATGATTTGAATCTCATCGTGAAAGATGCTAGTTGTGTGGTAATTTGTGGTAGGGTTAATGCTACTTCTTGGTTTGCTTGATTCTCTGCCATTGTTGATCTTCCAAGGCTTCATGAGATCAATACCTTCAACCTTGTCTCTTACGGCACAAGAAACCTTCATAAATGACCAAGATCTGCCTCCTTGACGTCCAAGACTCTCAAGAATGCTTCAAGAGCATGCCAAGATCTCCAAGAAACCTCATCTTCTCCAATGCGTTTGAACCAGGCTCTGATACAACTTGATATGACCCTTATTCGAAGATATCCTTGAATTTGGACCAAAACACCAAATTTGCATACATCGAACTATTTTGGGGTTTTCTCCTTTCTTGAATAACACGAAAAATAAAGATAGATGTGAAAATCTATCAAAAAATCCAGAACCTGTGGGAAAGGCCAATTGATATAGTCGAACTTGCCACAACTAGATATGATCTTCTAGTTGATAAGAGACACTTAAACCTCCCGAATCCTTAAAGGAAATTTAAGCAAACGTTCTAAGAAGAACACAAGTAAACACTCTCAATATTGATAACCGACATCTTAATGTTTCATTACAAAGGTTCGTCCTCTTTAAATAAGCAAAAGAACCCAAAAACCAAACTACAAAGGATAACCAAATCCTACCTTAAAAAGGGAAACAAAACCTTAACAAACAAGTAAAAGACTAAGTCAAACTCCTCCGTATTCCATGCCTTCAAATTTGCCCCTTGTGTTCACACTTAGATTTGATTCACACCTTCATTCCTTTCACACTGTGAGAACCCCATCTAGGCCGAATCCACCTTTTTTTCTTTCAAGCCCATCTCCTCTTCATTCTGGTCCATAAGTTGTAGCAATGTATGGACTTTCCTTCTAGCAACTCCACATCCATGCCCTTCAATTGTGGACCCAAATAACTTGTAATTTTTTCCCTTACAGCCTTAGCTTTGGTAAGAGTCATTGGGAATTCTTCTTGAGTAGGCTTGGTCTTGATGACCTCATCACGGTCTACGTCAGCACCACATAAAGTGCATTGTATCTTACAATGGTTGTGCGCCTCGACCACCTGATAGCATTTCAGTGAATATGGGGCGCATGGTGCCAGCTTTGCCGATGCCCTTACTATATGGACAAACGTCTTATTTATCGTCGTGCGCCCTGAAGAAGGTTCTAGTCATCAGCTCGTGCGTGTGTCCAGCCCATTGGGTACCCGTTTCAAACGGGACGGGTACAGTCAAGCTTCCCACCCCTAACAACGATTGTGTGCCTCAACCAACCCTTCCCATGAAGGTTTTGGTCATGGGCGAATGTCTAATCTATCGTCGTGCGTCCTGATGGAGGTTCTGATAATGGCCTCGCGCCTGCCTTCGGGCTATTGGCTAGCTTGTTGGGCTTGCTGCCGACCTTCTTCCTTACTTCGTTAAGCCACTAGGCTTTGTTTGTGGACATTTCTGGAAGCATGCCCAACACTTTCAAAGAGTCGAGCTCTTTTTTCTTTCTATCACAAAGACATGTTACAAGGCCCTACTAGAGGGTTGGGGGAGGGAGGAAAGGAGCGTTGTCCCTGGGATTCGAACCTGGGGCCTCCAGGCTGAAAACTAGTGGTACGACCACTCGACCATGACCTCGTTCGCATAATTGAGCTCTTTAAAACCAAAGGACATTCCATACAAAACATTAATGACATTTATTTTAATATTTTTGGTATATTACGGGTGCAGTAAAAAAGGTGATTCTACTTAGAAGTTTTTTAGTGATATCGAAGCGTTAAAACGTAGATTTTAGGTTTTAAAGCGCAATTATGACTATATTAGTAAGAGAAAGGCACGATTCTACTTAGAAGCAGAGTCATAATTTGAGTGTTGGGAGGGGGTCCATGGCAGCCCTTTGAGATGGGACATGCACCCACAAACATAAGAGTATTAGTATGTAGTGCACGATATATGAGCTATCAATTTCAATGTTTGCGCTTTTATTAATGCACCCCTTGAATGAAATCCTATCTACGTCACTACATAGAAATATTTGGTGATCTAAAAGTGTTAAAATGTAAGCTATTAAACGCAAAATCAATCGGTGATCTAAAAATGTTAAAATGTAAGCTATTAAACGCAAAATCAATCGACATGGAAACTTTTTGACTTCTCAATTTTATCTGATCAACTGCAGCACTCTAGTCCAGTCACATATATGGAAAGTTAAGCATGCAAATGACAAAATAGGCGCACCTTTAATATTCTCAACATCCGTACACGAGTCCAAGAACAAAACTTTGTTGCAAACTGTGAATACCGCTAGAAAGACAGCTTGAGTTAACTCGACCACAAACTATCGCCCCCTTCCTCGGCGCTTCCGGAGGGGATAATAAAATAACCTATGATATGGTGAATCAATCAGGCATTTGCAGACAGCATTGTAGTCATCCTTTGATGTAACTCAGCACTAAAGACCAGGTGTTTATTACTCTTTCGGACGATGATCATGTTGCAGTGCCCTTCTTCTTTGCCAAGCTAAAGAAGAAAATCTCCACATTCTATTCCATACCAAGAAAGGCACAGGCCGTTTCTTCTCTATGCAGCCATACTTTTTGAAACACGAACTCGAAACAGCTTTAGGAAGCTCTATACCGGAAGATGCTTGTGAGCTATCAATGCAGGTGGCTTTCTTGGTGAAAAGAGCAATGAAGAAGCCTTCTTTGTCTTCAGCTGGATCCATCCGGAGTAAGTGGTCAGCTGCAGTTGGCAACACAAATCAAGATCCAGAAATTAACTTAACATTGCCGCTGAGCATATTACAATACTTGTGCATATTCCTATCCACTAAATGTTACTAAGGATACACGACTTACAGCCTTGGAGAACAGGAAGACCACGACGAGTCCATTGAGGGAAGGGAGTTGACAGCTCAAAGCCGAGGGATGAAGCCAAAGGGAGAACAGAACTAACCACATCCTCATTCTCAATTCGGTTAACTGAGCACGTGCTGTATACTACTTTTTCAACGGAAGGAACTGTAAGTTTCAGCCGAAAACTAGTTAGATGTAGCTTTAACATTTACAGGACAGAATAAAAAATCACAAATATATTACAAGCTCCCAAAATTCTCATCATTCAGCCACACTGAATCCTTCTGTAAGAAATCAATGACTAGTCACTCTTATTGGACTGAAATGAACCAAGATTTTGGTAAAACCACAGTGAATGAAAAGAACAGAGAAAAGTGAAACGTACAAGATAGGGCATGGATCAAGGCCTTCTTCTGAAAACCAGCAAGCTTGTTTAGTCGTTCTGTGTCGTCATCATGAGTAGAATGTGAAGGTAGTAGATGGTCTAATCTCTGCGCAGCAGTACCAGATCCAGAACAAGATGGGTCCAAAAGGATAGCACGGATCTGACAATAAGAAGAATAGCAGATTAAAGCTGTCTGCCAGTGAACCTTCCAATTATCAGGAAAAGGACGGGCATATCTCTCAAACCTCTACGTTTTTTCAATTGCTCACCTGGCTAAAGGAAGAATGATGTGGGTCCAGATTCAGGAAGTCACCATGAAAAATTTCAATATCTAGAAGGCTAGTTAAGAGTGGTGAGCCAAAAATGCAAGCCGTTATATGGTAAAATCATGAACTGCTATCCATCATGATAGTAGTGGTAGGTCCACAGGGGGATCTCAATAGTTAAGAAAAAGAAGTATGCTAGGTGTGATAGGTTCACAAAGCAGTAGACAGTTGTAACTTTTCATGGTGACTTACGATTCCATAAAAAGAACAGTAAGAGAAGACCACTGGAGAAAAGGATACTTCTAGCTCCAGAAAGTTTAACAGTATCTTCCAGGCGTTTAATCCTATCTTTGTTCAGTTCACATGCCACAATCTTGCCCTTTCCGTTCATGAGGGCAGCTAGGTGAACAGTTTTATTTCCCGGCGCTGCACAAGCATCAATAACCTTTACAGAAGGTAGAAAATTAGATGATAAATAACCCAAACTATTCATTGTCATTTGCTCAGGTGCATAAAAATGCCTCTATTTTGCATAGATTTTCCTACTTCAACTTTCAGTTAAAGTTCAACAGCGTACCTGTGTCCTAATGAAAAGAGAGAAAAATTCAAATATGGTCGAGCTGTGTCATTTAACAGCGTAACCACGCTAAAAGATCATCGCCATAATACAGCTATTTCTCCCAGTTTAATTTTTAGCAAATGCAAAAGAGAGAAAAGAAAAAAGATATCCTGCACAAGAAGATCGCAAAGAAAGAAACTGCATATCTGCATTATGTAACGAACAAAACTTAACCATGAACCCATACTTGCCAGCCAGGTCTGGGATCAAGAGCTGTCGCAACCATTGAGCTTGCCCTTCCCTAGAGAAGTGCACAACAGTTAAACAACTGAAGAATACTGAAACTGAGATGAATTGCATGTCATACACAGAGTTTCAATCTATAAGGGGAGGTAAACATAAAGAGGAACTCAAGAACATGCCTTCCTACATGTGCTTGAACTTCCAGGGTTTTAGTTCCCTGTCACAGATTTCATTCATGTGTTCCTACCGTCATATGCATATTGGCTTTCCAGGACTGTATAAATGTATCAGATTTAGGAATGACTTAAGGAATATACTCTGATATGAAATCTGAAGAATTCAAGAGTTTTAGTATTCTCAGTGAAGAGTTAGTACTCAGTATCTGTAACATCACACCAATATCAATTTTTGCCTTAGTATACAATTATACACTCATGAAGTGATTTCAACTAGCTGAATTCATCCTTAATTTCCAAGTTTATTCTCAATTTTTTTAGCTTTCTTCAACTTCTGAGACAACAGGTCTTATTGTGGTCTTTTCAGCTGCCACTATCTGCCTCTTGATTTCTTAATTGGCAGAGACTAACTTCCAGTTCAATATAAAGTAATTCAATGGTCTTCATGATATTTTTTATTTTTCTCAATGGTCCTTTACATTTTCTTTCCTGGTCAAAAGTCCGCATCCTACGAGGACAGAAAATTTTAGCACAGAAGCTTACTTGCACGAAGACACTTCCTCCCAAGACAAGAGGATGACTGTGCAAATCGGTATTCGGTGGGAGTATCAGTAAGTTAGGAACCAACGCATCCCTCTCAACCTATTCCACAGCAAACATGGGTAATTCAGTCCACAGTAGTCTTTGGAAAACCACCATAATTTACTATTTGCTTGCGAAAGTACCTTGAACTGCTCGCTTAGTTGACGTGAGGCTGAATCCACATCCACTTTCAGAGTATTTACACGAACAAAACACGGTTTTGAAATACCTATGAAGCAAAACCCATCAAAGTGTTATTAATAAAACAACTTATTACCATCATCAAAACGTACTGTCTATCCTCACAAAATAGGGCTTTTAAACATACTTTTGAAGGAAAAAAGTGTTCATAAAATAAGTGAAAACGCCAACAACATTACATACCAGGAGGTTGGTAAAGTTCAATCAAATCATCAACGTGCTTGACCTTTTTGCTCACTAGAAGTCTTGCTAGAGCAGACTGTATCGACCCTTTCCTGCCCGTGAGAAACTTCTCCGCATCACCACCAAGCAATGAAGCTTCCTAGTTATTCAAATGTTGGAGTCAAACACCAATCATAAATCAGAACTACTAACCACCAAAGAAAGTTCCACAATCACATTGAATCATTAATCGCTTGATTAGCCCATAAACGGACTTGCAACTTATTGCCCCAAACTTCCCACTCACTTTAACCTTACAGAACATGGAGATTGTGAACTTACCTTTCCAAATAGAATATCATAGGTCATTATGTACATCAGCTCCTCCTGTTTCTGCAAAGCGAAAAACAAAATCTAAGATCTTTTTGATTCTCATAAACTTACTTTTGCGGGTTAGGCAATTCCAATTCTAAACGAGCGATACAGAGAGAATACGCCATATTTACCTTCCACTTGCTGTTCAGTATATTGCCAGACTCCAACACTTCCTTGATAATGCGAAGGTCTGAAGGTTGAACAACCCACAAATTAGAACATTCATATAACTCCGCTCAATTACAAGTGCCAAAATGTACTTTTGACTGGCATTTGGCAGAAAGTGAAAGCATTCTCTTCTTTCAGAGGCACCATTAAGGACGATTGTCGAGTTTTGCAAGCAAACTTACGCTTCAGGGTTTGGCAAACCAGAGCGAAAGTTGCCCTTTTGTTCCTAACTGAGGGACCGTAAACGATGGATTTGATAGAGCAAGCTGCTCGCCGCCGAGCATCACCTTGGAGAACGGTTCGTAAGACCTTGGAGGCTTCTCTCCTTGCGAAGTAAGCTGAGCGATCAGCGCTGCTCAACCGCCGTTGCTCCAACTTCACTGCCGCTCCCGGCGGCTTGGGTTTAGTTGCAGGCCGTTGGGTTCGCACCATTGCTCCAATGCCCAGAACCGAATAGCAATTTCAAGGAGGGCAAATATATATGAACGAACAGCTGATTTGCCCTTTCTTATGAAATCATTAAACGACGACGTCCAGGTGCAGGCCCGTTTCGGGCAGGGAGTAGTAAAGGTATTCAAATGGGTAAATTGTAAGGTTGGTCACTGAAAGTGCTAAAATATTCACGTTTGGTCACTAAAAGAATTTTATTCCAATCGTGGTCACTGAAAGTTCTTAACGTTTCACGATTGGTCACTCTCTGTTAGTCTCCGTCCGTCTCCGTTAACAAAGTCCGTTATCTGCTGACGTGGCTAACAGAATTGCCCAATCAGCCTAATTTAACAGGAAAAAAAAGAGACCCGACCCGCCATGTCAAATTTCTCCCAACCCAACCCGTGAAACGAGCTAACCTAAGAACAACCCAATAAAATTAAAATTGAAGAAACAGAGGGGCCATTTTCCCGATCCATCTCCTTCTTCCCCAGACTCTTCCTCTTCCCTTTTCTGCAAAATTTGTCTGAGGCCACCCTAATTCTTCTTCATCGCGCCTCTTCTTCTTCCTCTATTCCACTCCACTTAAAACACTAAATCCACTCGCATCTCTCTTTTCTCCCACCATCAGTTCGCCGCTTCATCAATCATGGCCATGCATTGCTTGAATCTGTCATAGAGTCAGCGAATCGCAACACCAGCAAAATTTGCAGAACCCACTGTCCTTCCACCTCTGCATCTAATACGAAGACATCGTCGATGAGTCTAGATTTTACGGGGTGAACATGAGCATGGGAAGATGCTATGCCATCTCGATGAGCACAACAAATCACCACAAACACAGATCGAACAATTTCAGTATCTGGGTTTATCAGAAGCTTTAAAAGAGGCAAAGATGAGAAGCAAGCGGCGACGGCTGACCAAGAAGAATATCTACCGCAAAATCCTCCACCGCCGTTGGTGAATCGTTAGAAGATCGCCTCTTTGGATCCTTATTCTCATACCAGATCCTCAATCCTTGTATGCTATGTTTCTGATTCTTCCCCCCTCCAGCGTGAGCAAAACCTCAACAGCTCCCAATCGTGGTCTACTCTGGATTTTTGGCCAAAAGTGCAAAAAATTGTCTTCTCCGCTCAATTCAAGATGGGTTTGGTTGTTCAGATTGTCATAAGGAGAAGCGGGTTGAGAGAAATTTCTTGAATCTAGGCGAGACCGAGTCTAATTCCTCATCCAATAGAAATTTCCATGATGATGATTGATGAGGCAACAATGAAAGGAGAAGAAGAAATTGAGATGGAGATTTAAATGTGGAAGAAAAAGAAGAGGAGAGGCAGGGGTCGGGTTATGTGGTTTGGTTGAATTATGTGGGGTTTTCTTATGTGGCAGTTTTTCTTACGTGGTTGGTCAAATTATATGATGTGGCAGGCTTAAATTGGATGAATCAGTACTGTTGTTAGCCACGTCAGCAAAATACTAACGGTGTTAACGGAGATGGATGGAGACTAACGGAGAGTGACCAATCGTGAAACGTTAAGCACTTCGAGTGACCACGAATGGAATAAAATTCTTTTAGTGACCAAACGTGAATATTTTAACACTTCTAATGACCAACCTTGCAATTTACCCGTATTCAAATGGTGTGGTTAGCTTGGTAACCATTTTAATTGATAGTATTCGGATAAATTTGTTTGATTATTTGAATAATTGGTTTGACTTGATTTAAGCGGTTTGATTAGGTTTCAGTCACTCATAACCAATCATATCAATTAACCAATGTTGTCAGAACCGAATCGGAGCATGACCCGATAATGCGAACGACTCGCACTTTGGTGGTCCAACCGGCAATAGGCCGTTTAAAAATCGTTAGAGAACTGGTACTTAATAAACGTTATCAATATAAATAATGGACATTTCTTAATCAGAACTCATCTCTTTCCTTCGAAATTGTGAAATGGAAATTAGAATTCAGTTTAAGAGCCCGACGTTTTTTATTTATTTCAATTTTCTTCAATTTTTTAATTAAATTTAACGGCTGAATGGCATAAAACCGGAGAGGCTTTTAGACTGTTCCGAGCCGATTTTGTGACCGGGTGGCGGTTCTACCGGTCGGGCCGAGTGGCTCGGTTCGGCTTTAATAACACTGCAATTAACCAATTAAGTAATTAGTCATATATCTAACACTCTCGTACTTAATACTTTACAATTTACATAACCACTTAAGATCAAGTGTTACTCCATTTTGGATCTATAAAAATAAATAAAGCTCATTATTGTTCTATATTGTATTATTCTTATAGATAATAGACAAGTAGACAACAATATATGGACACCTAATTAGATAATCTCATACATTGTATTGGATGAAAAAGTGAAAGAGAAGAATTTTTTATCGGGTTAATTGCATGGTTGGTCACTGAAATTACAAAAAACGTTCCAGTTTGGTCACTCGAAAAATTTAAATCAATTGGTGGTACTTCAGTTTACTGAAACCGTTCAAGTTTGGTCACTCTCCGTCCGATTCTGTTAACTTTTGTTGATGTGGCAGTCAACTCTCAAAGTTGACCGTTAACTTAGTGACGTGGCCGTTAAGAAATAATAAATAAAATTTAATTTAATTTATTTCTCACTTTTACCATAAAATAAATAAAATAAAATATTATAATTATTAATTAACAATTTAGACAGACGCACTTAATTCATTAACCTCATATAATTAGCATATATTTTTCATTAGGTGGCTACTTGTAGTAACCCGGTTAACCAATTAACCAACAGATTAAACTTCAGTTTTGTTAATTTGGTTGTTGTATTAGTTTGGTCATTTTGGTTTTGATATTTTGTTTCATAGTTAATAGAATTTAGCCTTAATTGATTTCGTAATTATCATGATAACCATTTGAAACACCCCTAGGAAGTTAGGAACTCGTGGCCAGAATTTTGAGTGCATATTTAGGGGTGATTAGAAGTGGAAATATAAGTAAGAATTGGGTCCAATTGCCATAAAATGCAGTAATTGGGTTAAAAATCACATTTGGATGAGCAAAAATGATGTGAAAATGGGGCATGGAAATTGGATCATGGTTGTCACGCTGGTTGAACCTGGTTCAAGCGGTGTCGGTTATGAAAACGTCATGAACATCACGGATATGACTGACATTATCAATTTACAATTTCTAAGAAAAATGGTGTAGCTTTAGTGAATTTAATTAATAAAATATTAATTTATTACTTCTTTTATGAATTTAAAAGTCAAATGTTGATATTATTTGTTTGATTCAAGTATAAGCATTTAGATATTGAAATTAAATATTATATTTAAATATGAGTACTTTTTATTTTATTTGAAATATTGTATTGTATTTTATTTTATGTAAATATGAATATGGATTTTAAGTAAATTGTCTTTGAATATGTTTTATATGTGATTAAATTTATTTTTCTTATCAAATGGATGCAACGAAACCCTATCTTTCATTCAAAATCACTCGAGGTTCAGACTTCGGTAAGCCTTTGTATATCATACATAATCCAGTTGCACAAATTGGGATCAAACAACCGAAACATATGAAAGACAAGCAGCACACTATGTCCTCTGTTAGCCAGAAAATCAGCACACTTATTCCCCCCTCGGTAAATGTAGGTAATGGAAACGTCTCACTTTCTATGAAGTAGCTCAAAAGCTCTATCCAAAATGGTTGCATGGTGATGCTCGATGGGACTAGTTCTCCGAAGCAGTTGACAAGCACAAACGAAGTCCATTTCCAATCTCACGCGTCTGTATCTAGCATCCCAAACTTTCCGAAGACCTTCAACAGAGGCCCTCAACTCCGTCTGGGTAAAAGAGAAACTCCCCAGGTTAAGGTAACATAGCGTCCTAGATTATCTCGTACAAGGCCACCAGTTGCAAACAGAGTCGTCGGGGCTGAGTGATAACGATGTAATTGCACATATTTGCGCCCCTAGTTCTTATCCGTTTGAGAGGCATAGTCGTGTATTTTGGCCTATTTTACGCCGGGTTGTGCTATTTTGTCATATTTCAGGTCCCAGGCGTCAAAGGAAAGGCTAAGCACGAGTTTTGGGGCATTTGGAAGTCATTTCGTTGAGCTGGAGCCAAAACACGGGCAGACCTAAAACAGAACACGGTCGTGTTCTGTGGCCGTGCTTTTACTGCCGAGAGCATATTCGAGTTTGGCAAACATTGGCTAAAAACACGGGCAGGGCTTAGACAAAGCACGACCGTGTCCATCATGAAACACGCCCGTGTTTCCCCCAATGCACTGGCCGTGTAATTAACCCTAGCCAAAACACGGGCGGGCTGAGGCATTACACGGCCGTGCCCTCGACATTGCTTTGGCCACTGATGCCCTTTTAAGCAGATTTTCAGCCAAAGAGAAGGGGATTCGAGTTTTGAGAGAGATAGAGCGATTCCTAGAGAGAGAAAGTGACGAACAAGAGTCTCCAAGTGCCCTAGCTTGATCTTCATCACCATTGGAGGCCAGTTTGAGCTTGGAGAAGTGTCGATCAACGTCCAAGAGCAGGAATCCATCCTTCACAGTATGAATTCCGCGTCTGATTCTGCTTTTGTTTCTTTCTCCATGGAGTAGTTCTCCCATTCATCTGGGTATGGAGAACCCTAGATTTGTATGTTAGGTTTGATTGTATGAACCCAAGTACTGATTCTATGATTTGATTATATTCGATTGAGGTTTGAATGATTCAATGACTTAAATCCTGATCAAATTCCTGTTGTTTCTGCTTTAACCTAGAATGAGAATATCTGCCTAGGTTGATAGAGCATCCTTGATTGAAGGTAGGGAGTTGGTGACTTTAGTCGAGGAGCCAACTCACTATTCTGTACCGGATTTACTCCGGTAGTGGAGGTTTTGTTTGTTAAGGCCTCAATCTGTTTACTCCGGTGGAAATTAGTCGCCCGCTAGAGACTCAGATTGAGAGGGTCTGAAGACCTTTAGTCGAGACTTCAGGCTGTTTGAGAACCTTCCGCAGTATAACTATCATAGA